ATTGTTCATTTTTATTATTTTATTTTAAAATCCTGTATCATTTTCACTGGTTTTGTTTTATTATGTCTGATGGTTCAGGCAGCTATTTTGAAGAAAATGAAATACATTATGGTAGCCATTGTTCAATTCTTATTATCTTGTTTCAAAATCTGTATTACTTTCACTGTTTTGTCTTAGTTGGTTTTCTCTGTTTTATTTGGTTTGATTTTTATATGTCTGATGGTATGGGCAGCTATTTTGAAGATAACAAGAGGCATTATGGCAGCCATTGTTGGTTTCCTATTGTTTTGTTTTGAAGTGTTATATCACTTTCCGTGTTTTGTTTTGCTTGACTTTATTTTATTTTGTTTGATTTTATTCTCTTAAAAATTAAAAATTAAAAAAATGACAACAGGCAAAGGCTTTACCACAGCCATTGGTCATTTGCACAGAGATATTAGGATTAAAGAGATTCTGGTATTCTCAACTCCTTCAGGCATGAGGCCTACAATTTGGAGCCCAGCCTGTGAAACTTCGTAACTTAGTAAGTTCCTATTTCAATATAAAAATTGTAGAAAGACCTGGGATGTAGCTCAGTGGGAAGACCCTGGGTACAATCCTGAGTACTGCAAGAAAGAAAGAAAAGAAATAATGAAAAGAAAAAAGATGGGAAGAAGGAAGACAGAAGTAAAGGAAAGGAAAGGAAAAGACAAGACAACACAACACAAGACAGTTTAGAAAAGCCTGAGAGCCAGGAGCTAACTCTCCAGCGGGGGCATACAGTGGGGAGGCCCAGGTTTGGCTGATTCAGGAATCTTGATGCAGGCTGGTGCCAAGGGTGCCCTCCAGGGCCAGTTCAGCAGGGTTCCGTGGGCCAGCTCTGAGGACATTGTCTAGCTGCTTTGAGTCTTTCTGTTTGCCCTTTGCTAGGTCACACAGTAACTTATAACAGGCTTTCTTTTGTTATTTACCCTTGAAAAAAGGTAGGGCGGCATAGCATAGGCTGCGCCTTAAGACGTTCATGTCCTGTTCTGCCGCAGACCAGCCACGACCTGGGGAAAGTTACTTAATGTTTTGTGCCTGTTTCCTGTCTGTAAAACAGCAATGAGTAGTTCTAATTACCCAATTAACTGACACAAATATTGCAGGATAAGTCTGTGTGGAGTGCTTAGAATACAGTGTGCCAGTAAGGAAGGGTTCATAAGTACTTGGTATTACTAATAATTTTATGAGGACTAAGCAGAAAGTTCATATTTTTTAAAAGCTCATGGATGGAATGAATTACATTTTCTCCTCTTTTTACATGGTTTCTCAGTTCAGAGTTATTGGAATTTTTCTATCAGTGAGGAAAAGATTAATTTCAGCTACATTTGTTACAACCAACAAAAAGAATGACTTACACTGTATATCACATTCTATGTCTGTTCCTTGAGTGAAACAAAGTTTCTGGATGAGCAACACTTTTGCAATCTAAAAGATATTCAGAGGGAAGCAGCCACACTGGTGGGAGGCACAAAACTGGGCAGTCCAGCCAGGTGAAGCTGGTTCTCACCCTCGGCTTTTTCTGGGAAGTTACACTTTGAGCATGAGAGCCCCAGGTGAGCCTTGGGATTCAGCAGATCACTCCAAACTTAGGAAATACAGATCGTTTATGAAACAAAACCGATGTGCAAGCATTTTACCTCCACTGTGGCGTCAGGGGACCCAAGAATTTTCTGAGGAACTTGGGGCAGGTATTTCCCCTAATTTTGTAGGACTGTTGCTGTATAAGAAAAAGAGCTAGAGAACATATCCCATGACTCAGAGTGCCTTGCCAGTGGCTGCGGACTTTAAAAGGAATTCCAGGCCCCTGTCCTGCTGGAAACTTGGCAGTGAGATGTGAGCGAGACATTCCTGAGCTGTCACTTGGCAACCCTTCCCTGACAGAGCCCTGCAATGCTATGAAGTCAACTGGGATGGCCAAACGAAAGACCTGTGACAAGATAGTGCTTCTTCCTGAGCACACACAGGTAGCAGGAATCTTCTTGCAGAGAGGAGGACCAATCTTTTTGAAGTACATAAGGCCTTGGTGGAACAAGGCATTGGCAGGCCAAGCAAGCCCATGTGCAGCCCCAGCTTTGGTGCTGGAATGGTGGCCCCAGTGTGTTATTAAGACAGGGGTGTGGGTAACAATTTGACCCACAGTTATTAGCAATACCCAAGGAGGACCATGGTCATATTGTGACGAATTCAATGCTTCTGCTCGGGCCACTCTGCCTTCAGCCCACCACCAGCCACGAGAACTTTTCTCAAATCTTCCACATTGCTGTGGCTGGCATGTGCCAGTGGCAGGAGGGCCTGTCCCTGGTTCCATCTGAGGATTGCTTGTGTACTCTTTGGAGGAGACAAACCTCACAGAGCAGTTGAGAACCACTTCTTTATCCCCAATCCTCAGGTCTCCCAGCCTCCAGAGCTCACTCATAGGACAAGCTAACATATTCCTGAGTCACTCTGGAAGAGGAAGTTCAAGGAGGCTCTGGCTGCCCCCTGATCCCGGGAATAATCCTCCTCTTCTATTCCTCAGTATTAAAAATGAAAAGAACCTGCTACCAAACCATTCTAAGCCTCGGCACAGCACAGACCTAGACACTCGTGCATGGGGGCAGCACTCTCAGTGCTCGTAGCCCTTTGCACCCTCCGGTGACCGGTGACCAACGCTTCCCAATTTCCTCCTCAGCTTTCCAGAGCCCTGAAGAAGCCTCGGGACAGGAAGTTCACTTTCCCTGGTGGCTCTGCAGGGATTTTCTACAGGGCCCATCAGCCTTTACTTTATTACTACAAGCATTAGGGGCTATGAACAATGGAAAGATACTTGCAGTAAAGGGAAAACCCAGAGATGGGAGTTTATAGTTATAAAGAAACAGCCAGGGAGAGCCAGTCCCTGATACCTAACGGTGCAGACGGAGGGAGATATAGGGACAGGTTGGCTCAGGAAGCCCTTGTGGAAAGTTTATTAATGTGCTATACGGGCTCCTGTGTGTCTTTAGGTGCCAACGTGTTTCCTCTTCCTGAATCTGATACTGTAGCAATATTAAAGGGCATTTCCCTTAGCATTAAAATTATTTAAAGAAACAGAAAGAAAAGCAAAAATCCAGATCACTGTTGCTTCTATCTCAAATATGAGAACAGTGTTTAGAATATTCTTAAAAGAAGTACTGATGTGACAGGCCATGTTGTATCTTGGATTTTATAAGAAGACTGAAATTGTTGCCATCCTAAAACAAAAAAATTTTTTTCTATGCAAATGAGCAGTTAGTGGATCATCAGTAATCAATTTATCTATATCTAATTTGAGACCAAGGTTTGAGGGTTTCCACCACCCAAGTCTATCCTGAGCCCCCATATTTGTGGCTACTCTCCAGACCCTCACCATCCACTAGGGCTCACTGCAACAGCAGCAAGACCAGGAACTTTGCTTTCAATTTCCTGAAGCCACTCTCTCATTTGGTGGGACATTCAATTTGCCACTTTCCTGCAGGGAAGTTGCCAGTGCCGTAGGTGCTCAGCTCTTCTCAGAGGAGCACAGCCCGTTAGTACGTATGGTGTACTGTTTCTGGATATCTTTCCTTCCACGACTTCAGGTCTATGACAGCTCATTCTCTGTCGTACCCTTCTCTGTCTCGCCCAACGCCCTCTGTTCTAGAAGCTTCCTGTCTCAGCAGACCGGAGGTTTCCTGTTCAGCCTCCATGTTGTCGCTGACTGCACTGTGCTGGGTTGACTCTGCCCTGCTCCGCACTGGCTGTGAGTGAGCCCCGTGTCTGCTGTGTGGCAAACGTCCAACAGTGCTTATGATATGAGCAAGTGTCTCTGAATGACAGGGAAGCTGCTAAATGTAATTAAAAAGCAAAACCAGTGCATGAGCTGTTTCACAGGGACTGTGAGATGGAAATTCTCACCATGTCATCTTTGAGTTAATGATGAATGTGTGGTCTCCCTACTGGTTAATAAACACTGGACCTTCTTGAGTCTTGCAGAGCAGTTCGGTTTTATTATAGCAACTTCTGCCCTGAATTTGAGCTTAAAACAAATACTGCTGCTGCCCCTTCTAATCTGGCTACAGTGGTCTAAATTCAGACCTTTCCCCTTCACCTGCCCCTTTGCTTCAATAGGCATTATTGCTTATAAAACAACTACAGAGACTTTCCCATGAAAGATGCCCACTCCTTAATGAACTTGAGTTTCGCTTTATTTAACTACTGTTGACTTACTGTCAACAAGTGTTATTGATTTCAATGTAGCATCCCGTGGAAATGAACTAACAAATTATAATTTGTTTAACTTTAGCAAGTATTGTCTGGGCTATTGCTCTGTATGCTGAACTGTGACTGTTCGTGTTCCTCAATTAAATTCAGAGATACACATTCTTGAAAATATGATGACTCATTATTTTTTCTCTTCTATGCAAATGTTCCTTTCCAATGAAACTTTAGAAATAATTTTGAGAACACTTTATAGCATGACCCTATATGATCTTACTCCCAGAACTTGACAGAAGATGTAAAAACCAACCAGAAAGGGACAAAGGACACACATGGGGAGAAAAGACAAATTTATATTCTTGGTTAGAATATAAGAGCTTGGCTCTTAGGTTCAACAAATATCACTTTCCTTCCTGTGTAGCTTTCACTTGAGATTTCCAAATAAAGAAAATATTAAAGAATTAAAGAATATTAAAGAAAATAAAAACATGAAATTTAATAGACAAAAATCACAATATGAAAGAATGTTCATATTCAAGCTAATTATTGTTAACATTTCTAACATAATAAACATCTGCAAAAATTTTTCAGATATTCAAATAAATATATTCTAAATCTCTGCATAAACCCAAATCAGGTCAATCAATAAGCATTGTTTTGAACAACGAACGGCCTTTGAGCGGGTGCTATTTCTTGTTCCCTTCGGGACGGAGAGCTGCCGTACTCCATCTGCAGTGGCTTTTGGGTGCCTGACCTACTTCACACTGGTTTCCCCTACTTACCAAGCTCCTGGTGGTGGTGATGCCATTGCAGCTTCCCCCTTGGGGTGCTCTTGGACACCGGGGACCAGGCATGGGGCTGTGCTGATCCACGGTGGGCGGAACTGAGCTTAGAGTCTCACGACCAAACCAGGTCTGGGCTTTCAGAACACAGGGTGGTCCTTCCAGGCAGCAGTGCTGTGAGCAGGCCGCTCTGAGCCCAGCACTGCACACAAGCGCTCTTTTCTCTGCCAATCAGCTAGAAAGTAGCAAGATGCTCTGTGTCTGTGTCTGCCTCTGTCTTTATCTCTGTGTCTCCTTGGACTGATTCACCAGATTCCTGGGAAATTCACACCACAAGGGTCTATTTTCAGCAAATGAGACTGAAGGATTATCCTTACAAAGCAGGTCAGACAGCCACCTTCCCTGCAGAAACCTCCGGCCACAGTTGGACACTCTTACCACATGGTTCAGGAATTAAAGAACTGTGCCCTCCTCCTTCCTGTCGCATGGACAGCAGTGCCACAGGAGTGGCCACTTTTTATAGCCTGCCCAATTGGTTCTGCTACATGCCCCTCTCTTGAAGCGATCTGCTCCTTATGCTTTCTGGGAGAAACCTAAGTGGGAAGAGAAAATAAATGACACGCTTTCTTCTGGGAACTTGAGTACATTGGTCATTTCAGTGTTCTTCTTTATGAATATCAGCTACTGGAATGATTTGATTTAAAAAAAAAACAATACTCATGCAGAAACTTTGTAACTGTGTTGATTGTTCAGAAGATCCTGCAGAATTTCAGACTGAGTTGCAAACTTGAAAATTAATCTGGTCCAAATTTCCCAATTTTTAAACAAAAAAGCTAAGACTCAAAAAAAAAAAAAAATCAATGATTTCCTCAAGATCTTGGAAGTAGCCACATTATTATTTTTTTTTTTTGGTATTAAAATATACTCTCTGCTCCTAGGTTGTCCTTGGTGTTTGGTAAACAGCTGGCCTTCCCTACCAAGCTGCGTATTCTATATGCCAGACATCTAGCAAGTTGCAGAATGACTTTCCCTCAGACCTGTGCACAGACTGAGCTCACTGTAATGGTTGCCAAATACAGAAGCATTGAGAAGATCACAGCTCCTTTCCTAATGTTGCATGTTGGAAAAATCATGGCTTGATAATATTTAACATTTTTAATTATGTGAGAAAGAGAAGAATGATTTTAGTGTGGGAAAAAAAGCTGAAATAAGTTGAGCAGAGTTTTTTTTGTTCTAAGTGATAACAGACATTTTCTGCACTGAACGACTTAGATGTTTATTAATTAAAAGATAAGGTGATTGGAAGTAAATGCCGCTGGTCTGGGTAAGCAGTCTCTTCTGGGGTGTCCCCTCTGCTCCTTTCCTCAGGGCTGTCTTCAGTCCTGTCAGGAGCAGCCCAGTATGCTGTGCACTGGCCATGTGGACTGTGACTGGGGCATGCAGCCCCAGAGGGACTCAGGGTGTTTTCACGTTGTGCTTGGTTACTTTCAGCCGTTGGTTCAGGAATGATCACTAGGCCCAAAGAAGGACAGAGTTGTTTCCTGGGGTTTGGCAAGTGGAGTGAAGAGAAGAAACTGTCTCATGGGCTTTGGGATTATGAGAGGAATAGTTGGCGAGGCCTGAGGAGGCCATGCACCCCTACTGTGTTCTGGGGCAGAAGAGAGAGCCAGTCTGCAAGAAGGAGCTGCTGTAGAGCAGGGGAAGGGTGGCTGGAGGGACCCCCAGGGTAGGCGCCCCATGCTTAGGGCCAGTTGATTTCCAATTCTGGTTCTGTGAGTTTACTATATGTGAAGCAGTTTATTATGCGTGAAGGGGTGATTTCTGTAAAATTTAACCAAAAGCACTACAATTTATATAATCTGAATAATTATAATTATACAAATTAATTTACAATTTAGTTATAAAACTAGAAGATTTATGGAAGCTTACAAAATACAGCCATATCCTCTGTTCATAGATTTAAATAGAAAGTGGCATGACCTGCAAACTGGAATTTTCCCAGATGGTTGTTACTCACTTTTTAATAATGTTTTATAAATGTTCAAAGTTTTTCAGTAAAAGCAGAGAATTTTTCTCTTTTATGCCTGTTCCTCAAGATGTTGGAACTCACAATTCAGTCATAGTTAGGTTATTAGAGATTTTCTTCAGTCCCATAGGTATTTTCTTCTGTGTTTTGATATTTCTTATTTAATGTTAAACTTAGCCTTAGATATCAGCCCTTTGTTGCCATGGGTGCCGGGTTTCTGGACAGGCTCCTCAGTTCCTGTGTGCAAGAAACACAGCACTGGCTGTGGTTATAGCTGATGAGGAAACAGTAGCAACTTTTCACGAGGTGACAGTGGGCTCTGAGGGAGTGGGCTGGTGTTGGCCAAAGGAAAGTGGCATGAGAGCTGAGGGCTCGGGGTTGGGAATGTATGAGCTGCACTCCATAGGCGTGAGTCTCCAATAAGCTCCAGGTGAAGAAGGGTTCCTGCAGATCAAGCAGGAGAGTCTGGGAAGCATGTGTCCTGGTTTGGGCTTTTGGAATTTTCCAGCGCAAGCTCAGGGGTCTTTGTTTTTCTAATTTCTGCCTCTCGGTTGACCCTGCGGCATTGTCCAGTTCAGGTGACTGAAGCGAAGCAGCCCCGTAGTCTAAATGGTGCAAACTATATTAACTTTGTGTAGATACTACTCTCTAAGCAAACAGGCAAATGTTTATCCACACGGAAGTATACTATGCTACATGATTATTACATTTTAATAGAATATATCTTGAGTTTGTATTATAAAATCATATATGATTATGAAAGAAAATTTGTAAAACCTAAAGATATAAGCCTGGTATATAAATGCTGGTAACATTTCACCATGTTTCTTACCTCTTTTCAGTATATATCTGAAGGAGCAGTCAGGGACAGATGGAGGCAAGGGGCTTCACTTTTCAGGAAAGCACAGCTTGGTGGTCTCCCCCGGTGGACAGTCATATTTTAGACAATTTCTTAATTTGATAGGGAATTTTAAAAAAATTCCACGACTACTTTCAAGCATTGCTGTAAGGCAGAACATCTTTTTTTTTTTTTTTTTTTTTTTTTTTGTCTTTTTCCTTTTTATCGGTACCAGGGATCACGACTGCCTGCTTGCAAGGCAGGAGCTTATGCCCCTGGGCTAAATCCCCAGCCCTAGCAGAACATCTTTCAAAAACTTACTAATCAGATGCATTTACTTTCCAATGTGTTTGTTGCTGATACAAATGTGTAAGAAGGATGCTACAGAAGAGGGGTGCTGAAGATGACAGGGATCCTTTTGTGCCAGGAAAGTACCCATCACTACCTAGGAAATGATGGAAACTCATAATACTACTAAAAATTAATACTAAGAAGGAGATTATTGTCAAACATGGAAGGATATTCTTAAAGCTTCTTGTGGCTTCTTGAAAGAGGCAGAGGATGTGCCTTACTCCAGTTATGTGACCTAGTTTTATGGGATCTGGCTCCACAGGGTGATTTTGGAAAATGCTTGTTTAGGGAACTTTAAGGTTATGAATGTAGGGTTATAAGTTTAGCTGAAGTGCTTTTCTTTCATAGGTACAGAAACCCTCACTCCTAATACTTGTGGTTACCCCTGAGACATGGCCTGCATTAGTCTGTTTTCTATTACTACAACAGAATACTTGAAACTGGATAACTTGTAAAGAAAAGAGATTTAGTTCGCTCAAGTTCTGGAGGTTAAGGGCAAGGCACTTGCTATGGTGAAGTACTAGTGGCTGATGACATTACAATATAAGGATCACATGACACAGAAAAAGCGAGTCTTAATGTATGAAGCCAGAATTAGGGGAGCATCCAGGTTCAGGTTCTTGCAAGAACTCTCTCAACTTCAAGGCCCAGAAGACAGTCCTTTCCGAGGGCAGCATTTCCGTGACCACTAGGTTTCACCTTTTGAAGGTCCCACCACCTCCTAAGACCACCACACTGCAGACCAAGCATCCAACACATAAACCCTTGGGGGACAAACCACATCCAAGTATACCAGGGTGTTTAGGTGGTAAGAGTTGTGTGGGGTCCAGTATTACTGGTGTCCTCATAAGAAGTGATTAAGACACCACTATGTATGCAGAGGGCTGGCCATGCTAAGATGGAAGGAGAATATGGTTATCTTCAGGACAAGGAGAAAGGTTGTTTTAAGAACTCTCTCAGCACCTTAACTTTGGACCTCCAGACTCCAGAACTGTGAGAAAATAGTTTCATAGTTTTAGCTCCAAGTCCATGGCTCTTTGTCTTGCATCCTTGCAGACCACTCGCCACCTGGATCTGCTCCTGGGTCCATCTTTCTGCAGGAGCACCGAGCCATCTCATTGTCATTTCCTCGTGTTATGCTTTGGTTATCACCAGGTCTGATTTATAACCCCTGTCTGCTTTATAACCCCTGTCTGGTATTTATAGCCAGTATTTCTTAGCATCCTTTGCTGCTTTTACTAAATGTGACATTTTCCCCTTCCCCTAAATACCAAATAAATATGTAACAGGTTTAACAAGTGACCGTGGCCCCACACCTTCAGACCCTGCTGGGGCTTCTTTGGGCACAAGATGCCATTTTTTATGACTGACGTTCTGTGTGGCTCTTTGATCTCCTAGTTGCCTTCTTGTTCCCCTCTCCAGTGACTTCTCAGTTAGCTTTAATCCTATGGTGTGAAAGTTACATTCAGTGCTGTGAAAGCTTAAGGCTGAGAACTTCTAGTGCGTGTGTTTCTCAGGCACACACATTTGGCTTGAGTCATGCTCGTGTGTGGACGAGCTCCATTCTGTAACATGTTGAGTATTTCTAGGGCAGAGCCTGTGCTGTATTCCTCTCTGCAGCTCCAGATCTAGCTGGATGCCTTGTATTTTGTAGGTACGTATTCATCACTTTATTGAAGGAATGATTTATATGCTCAGGAGGGAGTGGAGATTCCATGTTTATAGAGACAAAGTTATAATGTCCAGTAATTTGTACTTTACCAGAATTCCTACCCAGAAGGCAGACCTTATTTGTAGACTTTAAGCTTTCTACTTATGCTAGATCATTTGAAGCTATTCCTGGGGCAGGTTTGGTTCACACATTGGATTCTGAATGCAACACTAGTTTTGGTTCTTTGCCTTTGTCTCTCTTTATTCCTGTAATGGTACTCAAACTGCCCTCAAGGTCAAGGTCACTGACAGTCACCATGAACTGCCATTTTCCCCCAGGTCACAAAGAACAAGATAGTTTGTGGCTTCCAGAGCTAGGTGAAAATGAGGTTTCATTCATGGCAGAAGCGAGGAGAGGAGATTTAGGCAGGGGAGCTCAGATGGCTCAGTGCCCCTAAAGAATTGAGAAGAGGAAGTCCCCTTTGCTCCTTTGCCCACTGGGGAAGGTGGAACACTGTGGTTTGTGGCAGGAGATGATGCCAAGGATGACAGTACCCTCGCTCTCCCTGGGTCTCAGAGACAAAGGTGTTCAACCCAGCAATGCGTGTGGTGAATGGGAAACAAAAAAGCATTCTTTCACTTTATTTTCTTATTTGTTTGTACTTATTGAACAAACTTTGACTGCATGCGTTATACAAGCCAGAGACAACCAGGAATACTTCCAAGGTTCAGGCTGTCCACAGAAGTCCACGCAGATTTCTCGCTTAAGCTGAGTCTCTCTCCAGAACTCACCTGTAAGGATCCTCCCAAAGCAGAGGGCTCTGCAGTTGGAATTGGAGCACCCCAGGGGATGAGTTACTGGGCTGGGGTAGGAGGGATCAAGCATTGTGATCAAGCATTCATGTCTACAGAAAGTTACTCCTAAGCCCGTTCTTCAGCTAATACTTGAGTTCCAGTTGTGTTCTCAGACTGTGGGACATGTTTTGGGCACTGACAATAAAGCCATGTGAGACCATTTTCCCAGCCTCAGACAGTTCCTTACAATCTCCCATCCAAGTACTAACCAGGCCCAACCCTGTTTAGCTTCGAAGATCAGAGGAGATTAGGCGCGTCCAGAGTGGTATGGCCACAGACACCCCTCACAATCTGGCTGATAAACAAAACTAGTCTGGGAGCACAGGAGAAAAATTAGTGCTACTGGTAAGCAAGCGGCGGCCGAGAACAAGCAGTGGGCATGCCAAGGAGAGAACAAGTCAGCGTCTCCGTTGAGCCTACCAGCCGCGCCAGGGCTGAGAATCAAAAGTCCCATCCCCCATGTCCCCAACCAACTCCCCTCCCCCTAAGCAACTGGATGATGTTGAGGACAGCTGGACTTGATAGCAACTAAGGCACATAAAGCAACTAAATGCTTGTATTGTTGGGTTGATTATCTGACCCGGGGCCAGAGCTCTGAGCATCTCTTGGGAGGATGACCTTATGCAATATAGCAAATATGGGGGCTTCCTTCTATCTTCTATTTGAAGGCAAGTATTGTTTTCACTGTTTTGCTTTGTCCTGATTAATGGCTTTGCTCTATTTAATATTGTCTTGATAGGTATTATAATGTTCTGTTTTTGGTTTGATTTTGCTATACCTGATTGAATGGACAACTGTTGTGAAGAAAACAAGATACACTACGGTACTTATTACTGGTATCCCAGTACCCCGCGCTGAAATTCTGTACCAATTTCATGGTACAGAAATACTGTAAAGTATTGTCTCAGTTGACTTTGTTCTGTCTAGTTTTGCTGTATTTTAGTATCTTCAAAATAAAAAAAATTTAAAAATTAATACTATCCTGAGTGTTGGGAAATAACCAAAACAAGGCACCAGGCAAGAGGACAAGAATGCTTGAACCCTTGTGGAAGATGTGGAAGAGAAGGAGGAAAGGAATAATCATATCTGAAAGGTTCACCTTACAGTGACATAGCATGGCCTTATAAGATACATCCATACAAAAGTCAAGTGTCACTACAAATGAATCACTAGAGATGGAGATACATTTTCATGTGAAAAGTGTCCTCACACCTTGCCAGGTTGAATCAAGGTTTTGGATTGGAGGCATCAACACCTGTGATAGCAGCCTTCTATCAAACCTGCCTCAAAGCCTAAGCTTCTCCTGTGTGTCCCCCAGGGCATCCCATGTGCACTGTGGCTTAACCCTTCCTGTTTGTCCTGTCAGATCATGTCCTCTCTCCTAGTGCCTCCCCCTGGGTGCTCCAATTCCAACTGCAGAGCCCATCCGCTTTGAGAGGATCCTTACAGGTGAGTTCTAGAGAGAGACTGTGGAGAGAGACTCAGCTTAGGTGAGAAATCTGCGTGGACTTCTATGGGCAGCCTGAACCTTGGAAGCATTCTGGGTTGTCTCAGGTTTGTATAAGGCATGCAGTCAAAGTTCGTTCAATAAGTACAAACAACTTTAAGAAAATAAAGTGAAAGAATGCTTTTTTTTTAATGTTTCCCATTCACCATGTGCATTCTGGGTTTGTCTCTGAGACCCAGGGACAGCGAGGGTACTGGTCAGTACTTTACAGTCAGTACATGGAGACGCTTGCTTTCCCGCGATAGAGCTTTGTCTCCCTCTGGTGGTGGACGCATACACGGACAGTACTGGGGCTCAAGCTAGGTTAGATCAGAGCAGAACCCAGAAGGCTTAGACTCAGAGGTCCGTGTCTACAGTATTCCCCCATCTGGAATATTTTGATACATTTGGGTAAGCCTTTGCATTCTCTATCAGATAAAAATTAGGTTCAATTTTGGTGATAATGTAAATACACATAAGCGTGGTCCGAGCTATGTAGATAATCAACCACTTTCTAATCACAGTCTGCCTTGTGGCTGATTTCATTTTGTGTTTCAGTCACGCTGGTGCCAAAGGCTGTGACTTCAGTCGCCGCGATGGCTGAGTGAGCGGGTTTCTGCACCAGTAGAGGCTTTGCGGGCTGGGAAGAGCGTGAAGCGGGGTGCAGTGAGAGCGCCCAGCAAAGCGCCAGCTCCCCAGTCAGTGGAGGGGGAGGGGCAGCGTGGGCTCAGAAATGTGCCGTTCTGTCTTGTAAGGATTTTGGCAACTGAATTTCAGTGACTTTAGGGCTGCCATAACTTTCAAAGTGCGCTTTGCTGACAGTGTCTCCCTTCCTCGCAGGGGAGGGCACCTTCTGTAAACAGGGGTCTCTGTGTGGCAGGGAAGGGTGGAGCCCCAAGCTGAGGCAGCTGCGGTCTCTCCGTGGTCAGTCTGAACCAGGCTGTTTACTGGAGCCCTGGAGGGCCAGCTCCCGCCACGGCCGGCCAGGGGCACTCGTCACCAGCAGGGTGGAGCAGAGGAAGAGAATCGCTGCCGTGGACGCCTGTGCAGTGTGTGCACACGTGCCCGCGAGGTCCAGGGAGGGAGCGGCCCCGCCTGCCTCGTGGGTCTTTCAGGCTGTGAGGGATGCTTTATCTGGGGCCCTGTGGCAGGCCTGGGGTTTCTCTGACTTAGTTTGACCTTCAGATGTCGCGTGTCTCCAACTCCAACCCTCGAACACAGATCTTTGGTGCTTCCTAATTTCAGATAAATTCCTACAAATCTGGAGAGTGTCCTTTGAGATTGTATCTACAGGGTATATAGAGGTAGTGCTAAGTCCTCTATCACAGCATGAGGAAGCAAGGGCCACAGAGTCCTGTTACATATAACCCTGCGTTTGTCCTCAGAGATTGACGCTTTATGGTTTCTCACTCCCTGTGGGGAGCGTGGGCCAGCTGGTCCCATGTGGGTAGTCCTGCATGGCCCCTTCCTCTTCTGTCCAGCAGCTGCTTAATGTCAGTCAGGGCATGGCTGCCTGTCCTCTGGCAGCTGGCTTGGGCTCTGTCACATGATACTGGGGGCCTCTCACCTGCTACCTTTGCTGTTACCCTAGTGACCCAGACACACACGGCCAGGCCCAGCTTCCTTCACCTCTCAGCAGGAATCATCACAGTACAAAATGGGTAGACGGAGGGGGTGATCTAAGACCATGGGCAGACATCGAAGATTGAAGACACTGTCCTCAACCCTCAGGATTCACCGCCTGGGCTGGGCGGCTGTTACTCTGCCTCCAGGACCCAGAGTCAGAGTCCCTCCCAGTGGGTCCCATTGGGTGGCACTGAAATGTGGGTGGGGGCTGTGTTGGGAAGGTGACTCAAATGTTCCGGCATTGATGAAGAAACTGGGCATGGGGCATGGGGCACACAGGTCTGGGGTGTGGATGGTGGAAAGGAGACAAGACAGGTGAGATCCAGACTACAGGCCTGTGTGACCTTATTATGAAAGCTGATATGACATTATTATCACTATTTGAATCAGTCTCACATCCTCCTCCTCTTAATTCTTGAAATTTCACTCATGACAGCCCTAGTGAGTTTACTGGAACCCTCCCCTAACCCACCGCCTGGATTTCTTAGTGCAACTGCCACAGTAGAATGGAAAATATGTGAGTGAATTTATATTCCTGGTTTAAGGCTGATTTATTTAATCCTTTTTCAATTTCAGATGCATGTTGATATTTCTGTGAGAGTATTATCCCAATTACATGGTCAAGGGGAAAACACACTTTAAAATTTGTGGCTGAGGGGTTGCAACTTGGGCTTTTCTGATTAAGTTTGGCACAAGGATTCTGGCAGCATTAGGAGCTGAAATTGCTGGAGATGTATTTATTATGGCCTGCAGCCACTGTAGAAGGAATGGAATTTGTTTGAGATTGTAAAGACAGAAAAAAAGGCCTGAGGATTTATAGAAGCACAGTTGCGTGGCTCTCTCTGTAGTGGGTGTCTAGTATAATCCAAGGTCCGGGTGAGGGGGTGACTGTGGCTGTGTGGCTTTTCTCTCTGGGAGACTCCCCACCATTCCTCCCCTTCCCTTTTATCCATTTCTTCCACATGCCTCAGTTTCCATTTCTGCTCCTTTTCTCTTTTTCTCCCTTTCTTCCTCTTTCTTGCTCTGTTCTAGGAGGAAGTGACTATTTGTGCAACTGCGTCATGTCCTGCTCATAAATTCTGAGTAGAACTTGGACAGTAGATCTGCCTCGGGGCTCGGCAGGGACAGGAGAAATCACTGTTCACTTTTTCATAGGCTCAGACAGAAGTTTTCTTCAGGACATAAAGATCGTATACAAGAAGGCAGCTCAAAAATCAGAGCTTTTTTTAAAAAAGCACAATCTTTTTTTAATCTTTTCATCCCCAACATGTGCCCCAGAACATGACACAGAGTCAGCAGGAACAGGGCCTTTTCCCCTTTCTGAACGCTTCTGCTTAAGAGATGGAAGAAAGAAGGAAGAGGAGAGGGCTGAGGAGCTCTCCTGTCTGACCTGTGGAAGGAGGACCGGGCAGTTCTGGGGAGATTTTCGGAGCATCTGCTCAGGTACACTAATTACTGGGCAAGGATGTCCTCACAGAATTGTTTATGACAGTGATGTTGGAAATGTTTTATTTATTCAGTAAAAAAATAGTTGTTAAAATTATAGTTCTTGTAATGGACCACTAAAGTTGACATTTATTAAAAGTAGATTTTTTCCTACTGATATTAAAAATATGCATGATGTCTTTTTAAATTTATAAAAGACAGAATAGAAAGCCTAGTATGACACTCTTTTTGTAAGGGCATGGTGTAAAGTTATATCTATGAATAGAAAAATTCTCGAGTGATATATACTAAGATGTTAACTGATTTTTTCCTTGGATGGTAAAATTTGAGGATGCTTTATATATTGCCAGTCTTTATAAAACAATGGACTTTATGTTTTGGAGAAAGTTTAGGTTCATAGCAAAATTGAGCTGGAAGCACAGAAAGTTCAGACATAATCCCCACCCTGCAGACACAGCCTCCCCATGTTACACCAGATGAACCCACAGGACACACCGTTGTCACCCAAAGTCCACTGTGTACATTAGGGGTTACACCTTCTGTTGTACAGTTCATGCATATTGACAAATGCATAGTGACACGTGTTCATCAGTTTTGCATTGTATAGAATGTTTCATTGCCCTAAGAATCCTGTGTGTTCCCCTTCTTCATGCTTTTCCCTTCAACTGCTGGCAAGCACAGATCTTATTACTGTTTCCACAGTGTTGCCCTTTACAGAATGTCATGCGGTTGGAATCATGCAGTATGTATCATTTTCAGTCTGGCTTCTTGCACTTATTCATGATGGTTAAGGTTCGTCCACATCTTTTCATGGCTTGGTAGCTCCTTTCTTTTTGGTGTTGAATGATATCTCATTTTCTAGATGTACTACAGTGTATTCATCTGCTATAGGACATGTAGTTGCTTCCAAATTTTAGCAACTATGAATAAGTCTGTACTATAAACATCTGTGTGCAGTATTTCTTTTGTATGAGCATCTATTTCCAACTCACATAAGCAAACATCAAGGAGCGTGACTGCTGAATCATGTGGTTAAAAGTAGATTTAGTCTTGTAAGATGCTACCAAACTGTCTCCAAAGTGCTGTGCCATTTTGCCTCTCTGTCTGTAGCGAATGAGAGCGCTTGTGGTTTCACATCCTCACCAACATGTGCTGTTGTCAGTGTTTTGAACTTTTTATTCCAATAGTTTCCTGACATTTAAAAACAATATGTATCCCATTTTGGGGGTCATAAAGTCATTAAAGGCATTATTAATTTGAAAATAAAATCTGCCTCATGTATGACATTTACAAGGTTAACAGAAAAACTATAAATTCTTTTATTTTTTATTTATTATTTTTGCAGTGTTGGGAATTAAATCTAGGGCCTCATGCATGCCAGACAGGTACTTTACCACCAACTCAAGTTCCTAAACCAAAACTCCAAAACTGTAAACTCTAAGTTAGCAATTAGAGCTCTGCTGACTCAGTTGGGGATCTAAGGGAGACTTTCCTGGGTGAGGCCCAAGATGAAAGAACACAGGAGTGCAAGACATCAGCAATGATAGCAGGCAGCACGGAGCAGAGCAGAGCACAAGGGTGCAAGAGGCACCTGCGTCTTTACTGTACAATTCTTATGCAGGTTGTTATCTCATATTTACATTCTTACATAGTGCTGTAACCAGCGCATGTGTGTTTACCTGTGATAAGCCACGGTTACATACTGTATCCCACTGTGTCCTGTGCTAGACAAGCAGGGTCACATCCTCAAGTGTCCTTAGATGCCCCGAGGTTTGCAGCAGTCTGCATGGCTCTGCACAAGCTCTTTCCTGTGTACTTTCCCCTTTCTTCCTAACTCACAAGCTCAAACTCATTTGCTTGATTTCTTAAATTAGTGGATCTGAAACTGCAAAGGAATTCATCAGGAGAGCTTATGGCAATGCGTATTTTCTTTTTTTAAAAAATTTTATTTAAAGAAAAAAAGCAAAACAAAACAGTAAAAGGGTACAAGTAATACAGAATTTAAAAAAAAAAAACAGTAAGAAATCACCAGTTAATAGATTACATATTGTCATCTTAGAAATAGTTGTTCAAGTTACAAAATTAAGCATACAAAGTGGACAGTCAAACAGTGAGACTGCAAACAGTTGTGTTCAATGATCCAACAAAAACTTAGTAATATGGTCATCTATCTTACACACCTAAACACACTTGCAGTTGTGTCCTTTAGAGCACTTTCTTTTCCTCTCTTTTTTACAATAACAGTTATACATTTTGGGTTTTATTACTCCCATAGTTTTTATTACTTTTTTTTTTGGAAGAGAATAAAACCAAATGTGACAAAACAAAGCAGTCAGTCAAAACAAAGGATGGACATAGTACACAATGTTAAAACAGAGTACAAGGTAATCAACAATCATTACCATAATGCGTCTTGCTACCTTAAAAAGAAGGCAATGCATATTTTCTGGCTGCACACCAAGTTTCTGATTAAATTAATGGGAATTGAGCATGAGAATATGGATTTCAAACGAGTTCCCAGGCGAGGCTAGTGCAGCTGGTCTGGAGCCATAATCTGTTACTGATTGAGAACAAATTATTCGTACTTATTCTAAACAAGAAAAAAGGTGCTTCAAAGAAGTAGCAATTCCCATTCCAATTGTCCAAAACTTCTAAAAATAAGTGTCTTTTTAAAAAAAATATATGACAGATTATGAAAAAAATTTCTCAAATTCTTATAAAATCATTTTCTTCTTAAAATACAAATATACATGAGTGAACATAAAATCTGTAGTGGACCTTGTATATTAAATTTCAGCTAAAATCAGTTCTTTCCTCTGAGTCTTTGTATGCAACTGATGTTTCTGTGGGATGACGATTACTACCTACCACTAGTACTTACGATCAGTCTTTTTTGTTTTGAAGCCTTACATCATTTTTTCTGGTTGGGTTTTACTCTCTTTTGTTTTATTTGATTATGTTAAATATGATGGCAGGAACAGCTATTTCAAAGATAGTAAGGTATATTATGGTCATTTTGGATTTACTGTTGGCTTGTTTTGAAGTCTTTCATTACATTTATTGTTTTGTTTTTATTGTTTCCATTCTATTCTATTTTGTTTGATTTTTACTGTGTCCGAAGTTATCTACAGCTATTTTGAAGACATCAAGGGGCATTATTGATTACTATTGTTGATCTTGCAATGTTTGAAAGTCCTGTGTCACTTACACTGGTTTGTTTTGATTGGTTTTATTGTTTTATCCTCTTTAAAACAGAATAAAATAAATACAATCAGTCTTTTTTGTGTAATCCTTTACTGGGTTACAGAGTTTCTGTGTCTTTTTTGTGCAGTACACCTTGTTTATAAGCGGCTGTAATTTTTGCTGATTGTATGATATAGTACTGTAGGTTTATGTTCGGTTACACATTATAGTGCTGCATGCAAGAGTAATGAAAATAAAGTCAAATCATTGAGTTGGACTTTCCTTTGACCCTTTCTTTGTTCTGAATATTATAAAGTATAGACTGTATACAGATACACATTTGATAACTATTCATGTGACTGTCATTAGAAGAATGTCTGTATTTGCATTGTATGACGTTTTTGCTATTGAATTTGATAAATTCTTGGCCTGAAGCCATTGCTCAAAAAGTCACTATGGCTGATATCGTGTTAAAGAATCTCAGAGACCCAGAGGGATGTGCATTTTACTTGAAGTCTTCTGCTTTCTCCTTCATGCTCTGTGAGTGCTGCATGTACAGCCTTGACTCGTCCTCAGCAAGCCCTTCCCCCTCTGGCTTCAGAGGTTCTCACATCACCTACCCCATCAGGTGGCCAATCCCCAGGCTCGGGTCCCTTCTATCCATTTCTTTGTGTTCCCCCATCTCTTTTAATGGGATGCCCATGGTCTGTGGCAGCAGATTAAAGCCCCTTTCTATGGCCTGGATGAGGACACCACAGAGGAATGATGTGTCCTGCAGGTTCCTCTGTGGGTCCAGGCTGGAGCTGCCTTCCATGAGCTTTGGTTTGAGGCTTACCTTGGGCTGGCCTCCTTTCTGTGACCTGCCCTCCTCACATTCTTCCTGGTCTTCCCTACGAGTGCTACTTTGATGACAATAAATTGTCTCTGTATAAATCTTCATTACAGAGCTCCTTCTGTGAACATCTGACCTATGATATGAGCCCTGTGACTGATGAAAACTGTGAGACACACCTAAACATATGCAATATGTCCATGATTATTACTAACAACAGAAGAGGCCAGGTGAATCCTCTGGCAAGTAGTGAGGCCCAATGATATAAGGCTCCATGGAAGTCTGGGAAGAGATCATGACCATGGCTGCAAGATGGAAAACATTCAGAAGGAAATGTTGAATAGGGCAGGCTCTTGTCTGGCACCCCTTAGCTCATATTCTCACACCATGGTTTCTTGCTTTTGCTCTCTTGCCCAGCAGGTAAGCAGCAGAGTCAGTGGGGATGGGCTGTGGGCTGGATCTGCTCAGCCCCTTTGAGCTTAGCACATTTGTGAGTCTCAGGACAGCCAAATGGTCCTGGATCCTAGGTGTGGCACAGAAGTCAGAGCAAGAGCTGTCAGAGTGAAGGATACTGTGATCATGAATGGCCTCAGGTGGCAGACAGATGAGCTAGGGCCAGATGGCACTTTCTCCAAAGCTTCTGCACCTTCTAGTTGTCTTAGAACTTAAATGAGATGCAAGGGACAGAAAAAAGGAGACCCTAAACTGACTGAGAAGGTTTTTCTAGTACAGTAGAAATCTAAGTAAGGTTGGTAAAGGGTTCTTTACTAAGGTAAAGAAAATAAAATTTCCATTTTGTGTGTCCATGTACTTAAGGACTGAGACCTATGTTCTGTATAAACACAGGGGCCTGCACCACATCAGTGGTATAGAATGTGGTCCTGTGGTATTTGGCATGGTAAACTTTCTTGGGTTCAGGGAAGTACTGCAAAGCATGTGTATTCTTGTATAAAGTTCCTAAGGTCTTACACCTTCAGGGAAGAAAAAAGCTAGTTAAACCAATAAGTAAGAAAAACCCTATGCAAAAGTCACGCCCTCATTTTATGTTTTGCTTTGACTTGCTTCACTTTTAAGCTTGCCCTGAGGTCACGTAATCCCGAATTTGAGACTGGTGAGAAGGAATCGGAAGAGTTTTGTTTCACAAAGCAGCGGAAGTCAATTGTTGAAGAAGCAAAACTGTCAAGTGCTTTAACTTTCATGAACACAAACATATCATAAATATCGAGTTCCTAATCTGGCCCACACACTAAGGCAGCCCCTTGTCCTCTTATAAAAATACGAGCAGGGTGACCTGTTTTCCTTGCGGGTCACACTTCTGCCTTTCTTCAGGGTTCCTCTCAAAATGAAGAGCGAGTCCACCAAACTCTTGCTCCTTAAAGGACTTCTGCTTTTCCCTCCTATTTGTAATATAGATAATACTTGCCTTACTGATATTGCAGGCAAGAGAAGACAATCTATTTGAGGTGATGGTTAACACAAACCATCACCTCAGAGAGTCAATGCTTTCTAAGCACTGGTTGATAATCTTGAAAATGATATTGACAATGATAATGTTGACAAACTCCTTGTGTCTGTCAAGGTTGACTAAGGGAAGCAGAAACACTAGAGGAGATAGTTGTATATTTATCTGTATCTGTCACCTATTTATAATCTATTTATAGATCATACACACACACGCACACACACACTCAGATCTTACGGATCTGGTCACGTAGGTTTGGCCCTACACCATCCTGGGAGCTGGTAGTCTTTGTAAAGCTGTTACATTTGTGTTTGAGGCTGGAGGTTGAAGTCTGCAGAGCATAAAGGGGAAAGAAAGATGAATGGAAACTCTTTGAAACTGAGGACAAGCTGGTAGCTCAAAGCAGAACACTGGACCTTATCCATGGTCATTGACTTGACTTCAAGGGTGCAAGGTGGCCTGCAGAAGCGAGGGCCTTTGTTACAGTGCTACCCATGTGCACCAAGCCTAGAAATTAGGGAGGCTGAACAGGGAATCAGAGAATTAGGGGCAGTTTCAGGCCTGGTGGCTCCTGGGGGGAGCACTGGCATTTGGGTGAGCAATAGAGGAGCTACAGGTGCAATACATGTTGCTTCATTTTTTTCCTCCAGATCTTGCACAGCAATCTCTCTTTCAGCTCACCGTTTCCAGAAACTTACAGGCAAAGGAACTCCAGGAAACATAGTTCATCCCAGCCCTGCTGACACGTTAACAAGTCATCACACCACTAAATAAGCATTTGGGCCCAGGACCCCTATGATTCTTGTAAGTCACTCCTAAGTCCTTTTAAAATTAACTTTCATTTTATTCCAAGTATGTCTGTGCATTCTTTTGGCAAATATGTTTTGTAGTTACAGATTATAACTAGTGCTAATATCTTTGTAAATGTGTTTCCATTTCTTTTTATGTGTATTTGAAAATAGAAATACTTCTTAAATACGATTTTATACCTGTATATACAATTTTAAAAAAATTTAATTTTATACCTGAATTGTATATCATGTAAACATTTATATCATTATTACACTATTGTAGAAGTTTTAGATAGTTTTAAAGTTTCTATTATGCAAATGATGTAGTGGCACAAATTCAATTATTCACTAAAACGAGTGACTGGCATGGCAGGTGAGTAGCAGTGAGCATTTTGTGCCTCATATAATATTTTAATGAATATGCAGAAATGTGTTTGAAATATTTAGATAGATTTCATAAATGTATATAGTCACCAGAGATACATTAAACCTATACATGGTTTTAGGAAGAACTAATGTTTATCATAGTCTTCATACTTTGGAAATAATGTATTTTGTTGACACTAAAATTCCGCTTTTTACCTATGATGTCATCTTTAAAATTAGTATTTATTCACAATAGATGATGTTTCATAATTCAATTGGCAGTGGACTTTTTTCTTAGTGTTTCATTCAATAATGTACATCTAATAATGCATGGCAATTTATATTTGATGAATAAAATATCTCTACATTTAGCCAAGCCTCCTTCTAAGGTACCTGATAAAGATTAATATTTTCTACTTTAGGTCTCATAATTATTCTTTGGTAATTTTAAGATTTGACTGTTTTTAGTGAAATATTTCTTATTTAATCTGTAATAGGTTACTGTTCATGTATATGGGAAAACTTAATTTTTATTAAGCTCTTACATCCATGGATTTAGTCACTATTTTATTTTATTTTTTTAAACTGCTTAATCACTTTGATGTATACATCATACATATTTACAAAATTTTTACAGTGAATGCCACACCAAAATTAGCACATTACACATATATAACACGTTAGCAGTTTGCCTGAAATGCCAAAAAAATCCTTTATAAATGGATGAGTCCTGTTTCGCATAATCTCTGCTGACATCATATGCATCACCCTCTTTAGTCTTTTCATCCAAGATAATACAAGATCCATAGACGGTTCGCTTGCTATGATAGGTTCCTCTGGCATTGCCGCCTCACTTATCTCTTCTACAGGCGACATGTCTGAGCTCTTCTCCGTTTCTTTGTTGTCCTTTCTTTCCTCTTGTTTTCTCTCTCTTTTCTGTCTGGACAATGCAGGTATGTCTTTCTCCTCCATTATTCTATTTGTCAGACCCGAAGATCAGAAAAATATGCTATTGGCTGAACAAGGGCTCTGGATGGCTTGCATGTTGTGTGCATTTTTCTGTTCCAGTTCTTCCAGATTAAGCCCCTTTTCATGTCTGCCACAATACTTGCATTAAAATGTGGAGAAAGGGTCCAGGATGGAGGGGGCTGGCAGAAGTAACTTAATGAAGCATCTGTCCACTCAGACCACAGCAGTTTGGCAACACGTTTGGGCTTCCACCTTTGCAGTGTAGACCTCTTCTTTGAGCAAGATTAGTAAAATATTCCAGAGCATTCTCATAGCCTGGGACATTGTATTTTAGAACTACCTGTCTAGCATCAGCCTGAGACAGGATGGCACTGGCAGTCTCCAGGGGCTTTTACTACTGCAGTATTGCTGGACTCCTCAGGGCAAAGACCGTGGACGAGTTAAGTGGTGACACAACAAAACTTGGACTGTCTATGATCGTGATCTGTTTGTCTAAGGGAACAGTCTGCATACTCCTTGTAAGCCCCATGGATATACCAACATTACATGTTCATTCTTGTTTTAAGCTGTTAATGCTGCTGCTTTTCCTCACATTTGGGAAACCAATTATTCCAACCTGGATATGCTTGCCACAAGTCTCTTGAAAACCTCCAAGAAATTTCCAAAGCCCCTCTTTGCCAAAGCAAACACTATTTTTCAACAGAAAAGTTTTTTTTCTTTGTCTTCACCTTGGTTATCTGCTCTATATCCTCTGGATTTGTTGAGGCTTTAAACACTACTGTTGGCAATTCTTTTGTCAAGTAATTTAGCCAATTCTCCAAATTCTCCTTTGGTATCAGATCTGATTTATTTAATAAAAGTATCAGCTTTTTATGTCCACTTTTGACAGTCACCTCTTCTACCCGAGGACACCTGCAGCCAAGAGGATCTCTGGCATCCAATACCTCTAGCAAAATATCTGAGGCCTCAATCACCTGATTAAGGTACCTTTTTAAGTTCCTGACAATGTACTGCCTTCAGACCCTGTGTGGTCAGCTGGGGTCTCTTAGTTTTGCTTTGCTCAAATTCCTCTGCAGATTCAGGGTTAGATGGCTCATCAGCAGGGCTAGTTTCAAGTATTCTTTTCTTGTTCCTTCTGCCTATCAAGTTTTTGCTGCTGTTTTAATTCTTCAAGCTGCTGTTTTCCTTAGCTCAGCTTCTGGAAGAAGAGTCTCCATAAAGGGAGCACTGTTTGGAATTCCTGGGTCTTTCCTAGACTTCTTGTGACCCCGTTTTTTTTGGCCTCCTTTCTCAATTTTCGATGGTGCTCTTGAACCTTTTCCTGGATTTTATAACGTTTATGGCAGGTCATGCATTTACTCACTTTCTTTAACTTTGGCCTTTTTATGCTGGCAGCAGAAACGGCGGTCACAGAACAGCAGGAGCAAGGTTACTCTCCGAGTGCCACATACGAAATGCGACCTTGGATGAATCCACTATTTTAGGTAGGTAATTTGTTGTACATTTATTTTTTCTCTGTAATGAAAAAGACATTAGTTATTGTCTGGAAAATGTTTGGTTGTACCTCATAAATCTTGAGATTTTTTTTAAACCAAAATATTTCATTGAATAACTAAAAACTACGGGGAAACTGTTACAGGTTGCAGACACAAAGATGAAGAAAATGCTCTTCTTGTCCTTATGAATTCACAGTACAGTAAAGATAAAGCCTGGATTAACTGTTCTACTCACATTACCTGTACACCATGTGCAATTGGAGAGAGCATTTCTGACCCTGGAAGCTGTGTGCAGCAGCTCCATTTGTTCTACAAGTGGCTTTGAAGTGAATATAGTCAGCTGTTAGCACATCTGGCTGCTCTGTTCGTTACAGTTGCATTAACTTCCTACTACATTTGGGTGTATGTTAATTTTCTGTTGTTATGATAAAACACCTGAGGAAAAGAGCTGCAAGAAGGGAACACATGCTTTCAAAGGTTTTAGTCCATGATCAGCTGTCTCCATTGCTGTAGGTCTGTGGTAAGGTAGAACACAATGGTGAAAAGATGTGATAGAGGAAAGGTGCTCATTTCATGGCAAGCAAGAAGAGGAAGAAGAAGAAGAAGGAGGAGGAGGAGGAAAGGAGGAGGAAGAGGAGGAGGAGGAGGAGCAGAGAGAGAGAGAGAGAGAGAGAGAGAGAGAGAGAGAGAGAGAGAGAAAGAGGGCCTTACCTAGTGGGATTTCTCCCTTCTGATTTTGTTCTATTTGAGTATCAGCATTGTTGTTGGACGGTTCCACTCATATGCAGGGTGGGTGTCTCCCCTCACTTTTCTGTCCCTCATGCCAGTGGTCTCTGGAAACACCTATAGATAAACACAGAATTGTGCTTCACTAATCATAGATCTTATGGATCCAAAATTAAGCATCACAATATATTTACCTTAAATCATAATCTTCCTCCTTCAAATATGGCAGGGACTAAGTGCACAGTGATGGCTGTGCATACTGCTGGGCATCTGACATCTCAGAAAAAGCTGTGTCTTTCCAGTGAAGTTTTGAGTGGTTTTGACTATAAATTTAAACCAAATGAAGCCTAACAGTAATGTTACTTAGATTCTGGATCTAGGTATTTAATTTATTTGGGAGGTTGCCTGAGTTTGTTTTGGGTTGCTATAGACTCAATACGATGATCAGGTATTTATTAGCTCCCTTTATGAAAGTGACAGCCACAGTGAGAGTGGAAAGGGCAACCGTCTTGCCCTATTGTAAGAACACCACTCTCACAAGAGTGACATCAATCCATTCAGGATGGCAAAGCCCTTACAACCCAGTCTTCTGACCTCTAATGTTGTTACAATGGAAACTAAGCTCTGACAGTGTTTGGGAGGGGACAAAGATTCGAGCCATAGCAGGAAACTAAAATATAGCTTTACAATATCTCCTTCTGCCTATATTTTGCTGTCCGACAGTCAATGTTACAGTTACCCATCTGTCAGTTGAAGAAGTGTCCACAGTCAGAGCTTCGCACCCCAGAGAGCTTTGGGAGAAGAGAACCCTATCCCTAGGTTTCCCATGTACATAAAATGGTTATTATTTCAAGATCATCTGTCAACTGAAGGCCACAAACAATAATTCTGACTAGTCACATTTTAAGAACATTCTTTTCAAATTCTTAGAAATGCAAGCTTATATTTACTCTTAAAGAAGTTCAAAAGAATTATTTTAGAAGAACACAAATATATGATGATTAAAACTTCTGAAGTTTTCACGTTGGGTTCAAGTAGTTAAAATTCAACCAGACCTTGATTAAGGCTTTGAAAGTAATGCTTCGAGAGACATCCTTCCTTTTGTCATAGGCTAAGATTAATTAGTCATGTCTGCTAAGGGAACCCTTGTAGGAAATAATGGTGTTCTTCTGGTACATTTTCAGACAATCTTGTGTTCATGTGATTGCTACTGTTAAACTTTCAGCTAATAATGTGACAGATTTATGTGGGTAGAATACATTATGGATCATTTAGATTGAGCCATCTGTAATTGCTGATATGTAAAAAAGTTGAATAGTTGCAGTTTCATATGATTCAGTCTCAGAGTAATTCTCATGATAATTCTTCAGGGAAGGGATTATTTTTATTGCCTGACAAGTGAAAAAGTTGAAGTACAAAAGAGGTTAAACACGTCAGTTAAGGTCAAAGTGTGTCAGTGGGAACCTACAGTGCTGGCTGGACCCAGCAGGCTGGTGGTCTGTGCTCTCAGCTACTGCTCTGGAAACTATGCTGCAAGTGTGTGCTCCAGGTACGGTGGAGCATTCCTGTAAACCCAGCACTCTGGGAGGCTGAGGCAGATGAATCACAAGTTTGAGCCCAGGGCAGCTTAGTGAGGCTCCATCTCAAAACCAATCAATACCACAAAAACCAACCAAATAAAAAGAAACCAGGATGGAGACATAGTTTGGTGTGAGAATCATGGCTTCAAATCCCAGTGCCAGAAAAAGAGGAGGAGGAAGAGAAGAAGGAAACAGTTTGCTTCTATTCTAAAGGTGGTGTTTCATGGCTATTACTGACAGATCACAATATCTGAAATGATTTTTATCATTATCATAATTTGATAAAATATTTTGCATTTACAATGCAGCATTAGGTATCTGTACAAAAATTTCCTTTTATTAAGAATTCTTGAAACAATTTTAGTTATTGAGGTTCTCTAATGTCTACTGTGATTAGACTTAATTTATTTTCAATGGACTATTATTTTTCAGTTTTTATTTTTTTATTAGTACATGTTTTCAGTACATAGTGATTATATTCCTTGTGGGGAGTTGGTCCATGTTCATAACATGTCTTAATTATTTTTTCACTCCTTCCTCTCTCCATCTATTGATATTACCATTGGAAAGGATCTATTAGTCTGTGTCCTATAATCTATCTTTTATTTTGTTCTTTATTTATATTTTGAGTCTCTCATATAAGAGAAGCAATGCACCATTTAAACTGGCGTTTCTGACTTATTTCAAGTAACACTGTGGTTTTAAGGTGCATCAGTTTTGCTACAGATGACTCGTTTATCCTAGTTGTGTATAAATACCACATTTTCTTTATCCATACACCTATTAATGGACAAATACACTGCTTTCCAGATTTAATAATTATGTATTGTACTGCTATAAATCTGATATGTTCTAGTATGATGTCTTTGACTCTTTCGGGAAGATATCTAGGAGGGGAAGAGCTTAGTCAAATGGAACTTTCTAGTTTAGTTTTTGAGGAATCTCCACGCTGATTTCCATACCAACATCAATGTAGAAGGGGTTGTTTTTCCCTGCATTCTCTCCAGCATTTGTTGTTACTTGATTTCTTAATGACTAACATTCTTTCTGAAGATGAAATCTCAGTGTTGTTTAATTTGAATTTATCTAAAAGCATATATTGATTTCACTTGCCCATGTTTTAACTGAGTCTTCTATTTCGGGGAGTCTAATTTTTTGAGTTCTTTATATACTCTAATAGTCCTCTGTCAGATGAATATGGCAAAAATTTATTCCCACTTTGTGGGTTGTCTCTTCAGTCTGTTAGTTGTTTCCTTTGCTGTGCAGCAGCTTCTCACTTGTCCCAGGATCCAACAATCTCTATTTATTGGGAAGAGGAGACTGCAGTGTATTTGACTCAGTATCCAGTTCTCTGAGTGGGCCACAAAATTATTAATGATGCAAAGATAATCCAGCCATTGTTACATAAAGCAAATCAGTTGATAGCAACAACTATGACACCTTGACTATGGTAACAAAACCAGCAACAATAATAGTATGAAAACTGGATATTGACATACCCTAAAGTCAATAATGCCCACCCTTCCTTGACCATAGAAAACAGATTTATAATTATAATATGAACACTAAGGCAAACCAAATATTGGCATACAATAAATATCAACTAAATGAAACAACTTTATCTCCACTAACAATAGAGCAGTGTTCCATAAGTAATAGCACCATTAACTATCTAAAGAGTCATAAGCCTTAATGGTTAAGTAAGGATAGAGTGGTTGGGGAACCAGAGAATGAGAAAAATAAAATTTAAACAATGAATCAATAGAAGATGAGAGAAAATTGAGATTGAGGGTGCTATTGAGTTTAAGGAAATTAATATTGCTTTATTACCGAGAAAAATGAAAAAGAAAAATAGGGAAAACAGAGCAAAATAAAGAAAAAGGAGGAGAAAAGAATTTATCAGAAAAGAAGAAAAAGAAGCAGGTAGAAAACTCCAACCTCTCAAAAAACTACTGAGGGAAAAAAATGAAAAAAATTGAGTTAAAAAAATTTCTCTGTCTTCCTGAATGTTTCCTTCCAGATCTTGAGATCTAGCATGTCACAAGTCATGATTTTCTCTGCCTAACTTTGTGGTCTGTGGGCTTGTGAGGTGCACTCCCTGCTCCAGAGACCTCTCTGTCTGTACACCCCAGACTGTGGCAACTGTTAAAGCTGAGACATGTCCTTGCTCTTGTTGGTAGATGGGACCTGATCAGCCCTCTGATCCTGACTGGATGTAGGCTATGGGGCAGGAGTTCAAGCAGACTGTGGAACTCAGTGCCAGTACTTTCAGATCTAGTCTTCTGTGAAAGCCGTGTTTCTTCTGTGAAAGCCGTGTTTCTTCACTAAAAAAGGCAGTGTCTGTGTCCTTCTTGACCTGAGCTTCAACTTCCCAGGGGGTCTATACCTAGCTTGCACCTTTTTTGTAGCTGCCTCCCACACAGTCTCTATGAAAGGATAAACCTGGAAACCTTGATACTGATTGCTCTGTGGTTCAGTCTCAAACAGCTCTTTCTAAAAAACGAGCTGGCTTAAGCTGTCTTTCACAATATGGTGAGTCCTGCAATTGGTTTCTTCCCCAATTCTATTATGTCATGAAAGACACACATTTGGAGTAAAGCCTCATGCTGTTTTTGTAGTTTATAGCAGTGGTGGGATTTTCTTCGGTCTAGCACTGCTGATCAGATCTGTATTTTCTTCCTTGTTTTTCCTTGCTCTCCTGACCCTCTGGGCTTACCATCTCTCATGGCCTTGTCTATAATCGGATTAGTTGGTTAGTTGGTGTCTCTTCTCTTCCAAGGAATTGACCTCATCTATGATCATGTAGGTAGGTTGGTTGGTGCCTCTACTGGGCCATGTTTAGGAAAAACAAAATGCAGAGCCGTCCTGGAGTCCGTGGTTAACACAGCTAGGGCATGGGCTTGCATACTTAGTGAAGGTCTCCATAGTTGGGTGTGACTGCAACAGAATACTAAATCATTAAAATGGATTGTTTCTGAGCCTTAGTTTCTTCATCCATACAATGGAAATAATGATGGAACCTCATAAAACTTAAAGATATAATGCAAATAATTATATTCTGAAAGAGTAAAAAATATAATGTAATTATTATTTACATCACCTTAATACTAGTTTGTGATACAAAGTAGCCCTAATTAAATGTACTTTCAAAATTAATCTTTAGATAGTAAACATAAATCTTTAAAGAACTTAAAAAACTTTAATTTTTAAAAATTTTATTTATTTATTTTTTTGATACTGGAGTCAACCTGAGAATCTTGTGTTTGCCAGACAAGCACAGTGCTGCTGAGCTACATCTCCAGCCAAAACCTTCATCTTACACTTATTAGTGACAGTAGAAGTGAGTTTTACCATCAATTGACAATCTCTGACCTACAACATGGTAAGAGTACGATTTGAACACGTTCAGTTTGAGGGGCTCACAGAACACTCAAATAGCGATGACCAATAAGCTGTCAGACATGCAAATTTGGGGCTAGATGGAGGGTGTGCAAAGGTAAGGGAGTGGAAAGCACATGTAACATCAAATATATGTTGTAAAAAGCATTTTAGGAAGATCAACCTTATACTAACATACAGAATGTCTGGAAAGCTAGAAATGGATATGGGATATTGGTTAGAAACCAATTGCACTTATTTAGGCATAATTGAGACTTTCTTGATGAGGATGAAGTCATAAGAATGGAGAGAAAGGAAACCATGGGGTTCTGCAAATCAAAATTGATGGGTTGCCCAAGAAAAATACCCATTATGGAAGACCATGAAAAGAAATAGGAAAAGATAATGGTTATGGCTAAGAGTTTAGAGTTGACTTTGAAAATTTTATGGAACATTATTATTTGGATTTTGACAATATGATAAGACATTTGAATGGAAATATATGTGAGGAGGCTAGAGCAGGTAGACCCAATTCAAAGGGAACTCAAGACAGACTGGGAATACAACCACATGTGTAGTAATTAATGTTGAAGGTCTGAAATGGGAAAGATTTCCTGGCAGGGTGTAGATCCTTTCTTATAAGTTAAAAATCAGAAAAGGTCATATTTTCCTGAATTTCAAACTGTCGACAGGGAAAGTACTGCTGATTTTCATTCTTCATGGTAATTACAGTCAATAAATTTGCTGTTGAGCACTAAACTAACAAATATTTGTAAGGGAACTGTAGGGTTAGTGTCTTGCCAGGTTCTGATCACAACGTTTTTGTTAACTGATCAATTAGTAACCTGTTCTAAATTGTGTATTTCTCTTTAGAGACACCTTGTTTAACACGCATTGTTGATTTATTAACACAACCTCATGATCAACAGCACTATAATTCTTGTCTGAATTTATACAATACATGTATTTTTTCTTGGGGGCACATCATAGCCTTCTTGCATTTAGAAATGCCAGATGTGACTTTGGCACCATGTTTGGGGACTTATTCATAAGGCATGATTCTTGTTCATGTTAGAGTTTAGTGCAGTCAGGGCAAGGATGGTGCTGGATTTTTCTACCTGTTGGCTTAGAATCCTCTTCTGGTAACCATTCTTCAGGATGACCATCAAAGGGCATAGAAATTCTTGTGGAAATTCAAAGAGGGGCCAGGACATGGAGTAATGCATACCACTTTTATTTACATTCCACTAGTCACAACTCTGTCACTTTGCCTCACTTAGAGGCAAGGTAACTGAGAAGCAAAGGGGACCACACAGTTTCTTATTGCTACTGTAACAAATTTCCATTGACATAGTGTCTCCAAACCTAAAATTTATTCTCCAACAGTTCTGCATCAGAAGATCAGAATGAGCCTAATGGGATGGACTAGACACCTGAAGAAACAGTGAGGAAAGGGTCAGGCATCTGGAAAAAACCACTTAGCCAACATCTTGTGAGATGCTGTTCAACAGCTGCCATGAAGGCTTCCAAAGAGCTACCAAAAGCACCCATGAGAAAGTGAGAAGTCAGCCTACAGCACTCCCAGTTGGGTGAGAACTTCCTCCTTGTGCACTGCCTCCTATTCCTTCCCTGATCTTGACCCTGGAAGACCAGAAACCATCAGCCTAGAAAAAGTCAAGTAGGGAAGACAGAAGAAAGTGTCTGAACTGTCTGCATGTTTCTAGGTGCAGCAGGATTTATCTGGGGAGTTGGGAGTCCCTGCCTTGGCTGAGTTTCTCCACAAGGAAGGGGAAGAGCTCTTTTTGTTGTATGTATTTTTAAAAGAATAGTGGGCTCTGATTAGATTTTTATGAGCATTCCCTGTTTACTGTACACCTTTGCAATTTTTACCCAAACTATATCACACTTTACAAGTGATTCTTAAACTTTCATGATTCACTGAGAGTTCCCTCAGATTTCACTGCTTCCCCCCTCAGTGGGATGCCATTCATTGACTTTCCTGAACTCTTTTCTTCCTGAGACCTTGTAATTTAGACTTTCCTTTAATGTGAGTTATCTATTACTTCTTAAACATTAATTTAGCTGGAATGTATCTCTGTTGTTTTCATTGACGTAAAGGATAAGTTCATGAAATATTTTGACAAATGTTGCTCATTGCTCTCCAATCCGAGGCAGCATTTTAAACTGTTACCAGTGGTTGGAAGGAATTATCCTCCAGTCTGAGGTAGCATCTTAAATGGTCTGGGCTTCATCATATTCTGACTTGCTTTAAACAATTCCTTAGTGTTATGAATAGAGAACCTTCATTTTTTTCAGTTTTCCTTACACAATACCACTTTGATTTTCTGATAGAGTGAGGTTGTTTATTTCTGAGTGAGTCAATGTTGTTTTCTGTAGTGGATTGGCCAACAAATAACTCATTTATTATTGCCAGGATGTAACTGGTTTGTATTAACTTGCCAGATGTATAATTGATGAGGTGATCCAGTGTCAAATTAATTTCATTTATAAGTGGGGTGGTTTAAGAGTCACAAGTTTGGATGTCAACTATTCTAAAACAGCATTCTTGCACAATCACCTTAGCAACAGTAAATAATGACATAATCATCACACACCAGAAAAAGAATGGCCAAGCATGATCTAAACAGTTCTTTTCCTTATAATTGTTTGCCAACTACTTTTTTTTTTTTTTTTATTACTTTACATATATACTGGAAAAGCCAGCCATGGAAGTGGAATGATTTGTGATGCAAATTGAAGGCATATGAAAAAAAATTCAGATTCTCCAACTGAGTAAATATTATTAAAATGACATCCTATGTGCAGGTAGGGTTTTTGTCCTATGTAAAGAAAAATGTGCACGTGATTTATGGGAAAAAAAGAACTATAGTGAGTACTCAATCATCAAGAGTTGTGTGTAGTAGGCAGTGCGTGGACAAATGAAATTATACCCCAGTCAACTTCTTGGAATGCTTAGTACAAGGAGACTTGTATTTCCTGCCCTCACATTGCCTACATTTTTTGAGATTAATGGAAAAAATGGAAAAAGTTTACCAGAGAGACTGAGAAGACTGGAAGAGGGGATTTGCAAGATTTTGTAGAAAAGGGAGGATATTATTCAAAATATTTGATAGTATGATAATGTAAATGAATATACAAAACAAAATTAAAATAATCAACACGTGTTTTATAGGGTCTCAGAAGGGAAGAGGGCTTAAGTAAATAAAGTATGTTGTTCTGTTACTAAGATACATGGAAAGATTGCTTTATTGTGCCAAGCCATGCAACCGAGAGCAGGAGAAATTGCCAAGTGCCTGGAATAAACGAAGGCTCTTTGCCAAGGCCTCCAGTGTGGTGTCCGGTAGAACTGATGATAGCGACCATCCGTGCTTCTCATGTGTCCTAGTTTGAAGTGTTGTTTCCTGGAGATTCTTTGTTCATGTTATCCATCAGTCTCTGGAATCTCTCTTGTGTTCTGAGTTCAGTTAAAATTTTAATACGAAGAGATGTTAAATTTTATCTCATACTTTTTCTCAGTGAAATGACAAAACCGTATGGTTTTTCTGCTTTAACCTTTTAAGTGCAATGAATCACATTTATTTCACTGTTGGGCTTCCTCAGAATTACTACATTAGAGCAAAATTGGACAAGATATTTTTTTCTTTTTTTAAATATTGGGCCGGATTTTGTGTGCTTATATTATTTAGGGTTTTTATAAAATGTTTATCAATCAGTTAAATTTCTTTTAATTTTCCTCCATCATATTTTTTTCCCCCCAGAAATAGGGATTGAACCCAGGGCCTTTGTACTAAGGTATATCCCAACCCTTTTTTATTTTAATGCAAGGTCTTGCTAAATTCTAAGCTGCCGAGGCTGATCTCAGGATCCTTTTCCCTCCGTCCTCTAGAGTGCCGGGGTTATAGTGTTCACTGCAATGCTTGGCCGGGAGTTTGTTTAGATTTAAATATGTATTTCCCAAATTGTCTACTCAGCGTTCCTTCTTGTATCCCAGATCTTCATCCTGAGGTCAGATTTTTCGTTTCGAAGTCTTTTTAGAAGTTCCTTTAGTAAAACTCTGAAAGTAGTAAATATTGTCAAATTTTATTCATTTATGATTACCTTTATCTAATTCTTGGAAGATAATTGTGCTGCATATTCAGATCTAGGTTTGTAGTTATTTTTTCAGTTAAGTTTGGAGATATTCCTTCCTTTTAGTGTTGACAAGTATTCTGTTTAACTTCGTTTTTGTAGGCATTCTCTGGGTGCTGTCTGGGTACTTTGAATCACCTAAGGAATTCTGTATTCTTAGCATTACACATGTACTTTGATACTGATTTTGTTGTGCTTATCTGATTTGATGTTTGTTGTCCTTCTCAAGGTCAGCACATTTACTGACATTTCATCAGTTCTCAGCCATTATTTCTTTGAATACTGCACCTTCTGGGTCCTCTCAGTTCTTTTCTTCTAAGACTTTGATTGGACAAATGCCAGACCTTTTATTTATTTTTTTAAAAATCGATTTTATTGGTGCATTTTAGATAAACATGATGATCACATTCACCTTAGAGAATTTGTACCCATGCATGCTATATCTTAATTCTTTGTTTCCTATTCCCTCCCTTCCCTTCAACCTTTTCTCCCCTCCTTATTTATAAAAACTTTGCTTCCATTTTTTCTTTTATTTTCTTTTTTGTTTTCCCTTTCTTCCTTTCCATGCTTCTTATATTTCCTGGTTTGAATGGCTATTTGTTCATATTATTCATCAGTCTCTGGAATCTCTCTTATGTTCTGGGTTCAGTTAAAATTTTAACATGAAGTGATGTCAAATTTTATCTCATATTTTTTATTAGTGAAAAATAAGACCGTATATGTTCATCGTCTCCCTAATTCCCCTTCCCATTTGAATATTTTTCCTATTCCTAATATCTATTATACGTTTTATTTCTTATTTACATTTTTGGTTTCTTATACCAGAGAAATGTGGTATTTAAACACATGTGCTTGATTTATTTCACTTAAGAGTATGGTCTTAGGGTGCATTCATTTGTGTAGAAATGTTTTGAGTTTATCCTTCTTTGTGGAAGAGTAGTACTCCATTTTATTAAAAAACAAAAACTTATTCCATTCATTGGTTAATATGTATTTGGGCTGTTTCCAAAATTTAACCATTACAACAGTTCTGCTACATGAGTGTGCATATATTGCTGTAGTACAATGCTTTTAATTCATTCAGGAAGATACCAAAAAGAATACCTGGGTCAAACGGAACCTCTAGTTTTAGTTTTCTAAGGAATTTCCAAACAGCTTTCCAGAGTGGTTGAACCAGTTTACACTCACAACATTAGAGAAGGGTTCTTTTTTCCTTGCAGTCCCTCCAGCATTAGTTATTGGTTGATTTCTTGACAAATAGCCATTTTTTCTGGGGTGAGGTAGAGTCTCAGTGTTGTTTTGATTTGCGTCTCTCGAATGACCAGTGATGCTGAACATATTTTCATGTGTTTATTTGCTGATTGTATTTCTTTAGCTGAGAAGTGCATATTAATCTCAGATGTCCATTTTTGGATTGGGTCTTTAAATTTGGGAGGTGTGATTTTTTTGGAGTTCTTCATATGTTCTCAATAGTAATCCTTTGTCTGAGGAACAGCTGGTAAACATTTTTTTCCCTCATCGTGAGTTGTCTTTTCACTCTGTTGGTACTTTCTTTTGTTCTGAATAAGCTTTTTAATGGAATGAGATCCCAGTTGTTGATTTTTTGGTGGTACTTACTGTGTTATCAGGGTTTTGTTCCTAAAGTCTTTTCCTACACCTGTGTCTTCAAGAGTTATACCTCTTCTATCTTCCAGCAGATTTAGTGTTTCTGTTTTAATATTTAAATCTTTGACCCATTTTGATTTTAATTTAGTGCATTTTGAAGCATATAGGTCTAGTTGTACGATTCAGCATATGGAAAATCAGTTTTCCCAGCACCATTTAGTAAGAGGCTGTCTTTCTTCCAGTGAAGACATTTGACCTCTTTGTAATAAATAAGGTGACTGAATGCATTTGCAGTTGTTTCTATATCTTCTAGTCTGTTTCATTGATTCTCAGGTCTGGTTTTTGTTTTTTTTCCTTTTTCAGTCACAGTAGCTTTGGAGTACAATTTCAAGTCAGGGATTGTGATGCTCCTGGCCTGCTAGATTGTTTGATTCTATTTTTCATGACTTTTTAGTATTTTGTATCATTATGTATCACAGTGCAATAATGTTGGAAATTTCTGTAGGTTACTCTTCTACTTCCCTTATTTTCTCTTTTGCCATATCTAATCTCATATTTAGTTATACATCAAGATTTTATTATTTATGGTAATGTTTGTCATTTATAAGTTATGGTTGGCTATTATGCAAACCGTTTTCTATTTTTCTCTATTTTTAGCTCTATGTAAGATATATGTGTTATTATTTAGTATTATGAACCTAATAATTCAAATATTGGAAGCACAAAACTGTCTTGCTTCTGCTGTCTATTCTTATGGTGTTTGTTTCTTTGAGGGTTTATGCTGTCATATTTGATCTACCTTAACTTGTGGCGAGGGCCTAAATTGAGGATGCTTTTCTCTAGAGAGGATTTCTGTTTCTTTTATGCTATGGATAAAAGATGCTCCTCTCCTCAGATACTCACAAGTCCAGATTGATGTGGGATCAGGAACACTCAGACTTGGTATCTGCCTGTGGTTAGCTTATATATTAATCATGACACCTCTTAAAGCCCCATCACACACCTACCATGTTCTGTTAATGCCACCTCCACAGTGTCTTGTCTAAGAATTTGTTTTTCTGCTGACACTTTCATCCAGGTCCTTATGACCTCTCACTTGGATTATTTTAATGGCCTCCTAATTTCCCCTTGGTCTTAATCTTTCCTCTAATCATTTCTGATCCTAGCTGCCTACTCTTTCTAGAGTACAGTTCTGATTTGTACAGTATAAAGCTCTTAGTTTGCATAGTGATCATCTTTTGGTAATACAGCCACCAGGATGCCTCCCCTATACCTGTCTGCTCCTTTGTGAGGAGTGGTGGCTATAGTTCCTGCTCAGTGGCTTCCTCTATGCTCTCACAGTAAACCCAGACACCACCTCCCATCTGGCTTTAAGTGATTCTTTTACAAGATCTAGCTGATCTTTACACTGGAGCTCTAATTCCTTGCATGCTTCTTACAGTCTAACCAACATTCATGAAGTACTAAAAATCTCTTCTTTTCTCTCTTTGCTTTTGTTCCTCTGGCAAGAACATTCCTCCATTGCTATTTCCCTACCTTAGCATTTTTGATTCTCAGATGAGGTATTTTCTCTAAAGTTAGAAAGATTTAATGGAAATAAAGAGACCTCATTTTAAATGCTGGGAACGGCCAACATTTTGTTTCTGTTAATTCCACATCAGAAAACTGTTCTTTTACTGACTGATAGTGCAAAGAATACCCAGTTTGCAAATGAAGTTTAAGCTGCGCCCCCCCCCACCAGCTGTGTTGTTTGCTGTGTAAACATAATCTGGGTGATAACCTCAGTTTCTACTTCAGTAAAGTGGGCATAATCATATATATCTCTCTCTGACATTCATGGGGATGAATAAGCATGTGATTCACAAATTGCTATGTGCCACATACTTATATAGAAGGGTGCACGGGACCTCACAATTTACTTAGTCTCATCTCAGAAGGAAGTGGTCACAAGAGGAAGAGGAGGACAGCTAAAGGAAAATGTGTGCCTGGAAAGAGGAATGAAGGGCGATGCTTCCCTGCAGGAAAAGGTCCCCAGGGCAAGATGTCCAGTTAAGCACCTTCCCCAGGTTTGGTTATATTGGACAGGGATGCAAGGGTGTTCTTTGGGAGAGAAGAATCATGCTAGGGCTCTAGTGTCTTCCTGGGTCTTTCTGGGACTGGTCAGGACTGTACTGCCGATAGCAAAGCCTGGGTCAGCCGCTAGCTGGTCCAGATGCTGTTTCATAAATGACCACACGGCTGTGCCCTATTCGCGGTCAGAGATACAGTTTGGGTTCAGTATAGGACTGCTGAACAAATAAGTGCCTGGCCATCCTTTTGCTGGATGAGGTATACAGAGATTGGGGGACATGTTCTGGGCAGCAGCCTGCAGCATGTATTGCCCTGCAGCTGGATTCTCCTCTCAAAAAGAGGCTGGGGTCGGGGAAATGCAGCCTGGCAAAGTGACCAGACATATGTTTTCTTAGTTTGATGCCGTGGCCAACTCTTAAAGTTGCCAATTGGAGCTTGAAGATAGCATTTTGAGCTCTGTCCCACTCACATTTACTAAGGACTCTTCTCCAAACTGTGTTCTTTTAAATTCGTTAGTATTAGAGTGAACATGCCTCTGTGGCTGTCCCTAGGAAGTGTATGTGTAAATCTAAAGAAAAGGAGGATATCAGGAATGGTCATAAAATTCCTTCAAGTTTCACAGCACTGTTTAACACTGGGTGGTGGTTTTTTTTTGTTTGTTTGTTTTTTGGTTGTTCTATTGCACTTGATTTTGAGCTGTTTAAGGCAAGGGCTATCTGTGGTTTACTCACATTTGTATACTCAGAGATTCTAGAACATTACCTGGAACAAAATATGCATTTAAAAGAGGCTATATAAAAGAATGGATGAATGAAATATTTCTCTTGATTTGTATATAGCCAAAGCCTTTTGTCCAATGCCTAGTGGTAGTGATAGAATGGGCATTGGACAAAACTGTGGCACACAAATCTGTGAGCTTTTCTGTAAGGCTAACAGAGGCAGACCCACATAGAACCCTCAAGAATGCACATACTAGACTGGGAGTCTGATATCTCAAATCTCTATGTTTTACCAATTCCCAGCATATTTTGGTACACAAGAAGATTACTACTTTGGCACTGCCTTGCAATGGAAGCACATTAGAACTTCAGGGCAGAGAAAGCATGCTTCAGGCAGTGATGAATACACAGAAATTTTTTTTTCCTACTTTAAGGAGCCATTTGTTTTTTCTAATTTCTTTTTTGTTCTTTCAAAATCTGAAAAGATGAACAATATAAAATAGAGATATTGTGCAACTGTTTGCTAAGGAAGACTGACCACCAAAGTTTTTCTGACAATTTGTGGTGGACATGGGCAAGTAAAACAGACTTCTGTTTGTACTTCCGGCCTTAATCCTGATGCTTTTATTGAAATTTGGTTAGATTTCCGAGGTGCAATAGTATGGTGGAGAGAAACCTGTGCTTGGAGTCAGAAAGCTTGGGCTGGGCTGTTATGCTCATCAGTTAGAGAATCCAGAGCACCTCACAGGATTCTTGAAAACTTGATTTTCTCTCTGTTAAGACAGAGCAATGCCTCTAAGGGTGTTGTGAGAACAGACTGATTACTGATCAAGAAAAGTTTTATATAGCATTATTTTATTTTATTAAAATGGAGTTTACTTGCTTACTTTTATTTTCTTATGTCTGAGTTATTACGCCCCACCAAGCATGACAGATACATCCCCCCCTCCTTTTTTTCTATGTAAAGTCTTTAAAATTTGTGTGTTTATCACTATTGTGTAATGGTATGGTGCAGTGTCCTGCTTCGGTCAGTGTAGATTGATGTATTCAAATGTGTTGCTACAAAGCAGAGTCATGACAGTAAAATCCAAGTCTGAACAATATTTGATATTAATGTTGGTATCAATATGGTATGAGACATGTATTTTCAAAATTCTACTTTAGTTCACACTGGATGGTCATTGAGACGAGGTTTCCAGTTTTCCTTGTGAAACATGAGGACAGCATTTTAATTTCCTGTACCACATCGGAATGCCATGACAATGTGTATGGAGACTGTTGAATTCTTTTGATGCAGAGATAGTATATTTTAAAAATGACTAGAAGCAGCAGAGATAGTATGTAAGTGTGGGTATATCTTGATTCATAAATCTAGAAATGAACTACAGAACAGTATAGGAGGCAGGTTAGGAAAGATCATGTTCCAATAGTCAGTAACTGGTCTAGTGCCAGAGTGACCTCTGTTCTGTTTTGACAAACAAAATACCAAAAAGTAAGACATGTGAAAAAAGTAAAGTCTATCAAGACAAAACTAAACAGAAGAGATCTTGACAGCACTTATATTTTTGAGATGACTCAACTCAGGACCTATGACTATGGTCGTTTTTTTTTGTTTGTTTGTTTTTGAGATCTTCTAACCTAAAGTAGTGATAGTTTACAAGTCTTATTTAGGATATTTTATTAAATATGCACTCTTAAATTTGTAGTCAAATTAGAGTCAGTACTTGTAACTATTAGAAGTTTAGATTCAGCATCTAATAGTCCATGGTTGCTTTTTCTAGTCTAGTCACTGAAACTTTAAATTTGGAAGTAATTCTATATGGTGCTTCATTCTCAAATGTCCATATATGAAAGTTGTTCTAATGAGTAACGTTAAGGGAGGGAGATAAATGCATGTGGATGTCATGCAGAAAGAAGGATGGGCTTTCAGACTATATCGTAGGATAATTTTGTTAAATTTACTTAGAAGAATGAAATCTTCAGATGACAAAAGTTTAATGGAGAGTGAATGACCAGGGTAAGAAGAATTTGACTTTATATAATGCCAGTTCCCTTTATCCCCACATCCAGTACAGAAAATCACTCTAGCTATCCTTCAGCTACCTTAGGTATCTCACAAGCTCTTACACTTCCATTGCTCTTCTGATCCCAGTGTTAGCTGGTCTCACCTGGATTATAAGAGTCTGTTTGTGGTCTCTTTTTGGACCCGGGAATGGAAGCCCAGGATTCTTTCCCCATGTTTGGTGGCTCTTCCATGAGAAGGATCATTCTCTCTGGTTGGTGTTCCCTGAGGCAGGAGCCAAACCTCCAGGTTCCTTTCAGGTCCTTTCAGCTGTATGAGTCTCCTGTGGCTACTGTAACAGGCACTTTATTGGCTAAAGAAACAGAAATTTATTCTGAAAATGCATTCCACTGGACTGAAATCAAGATATAACAGGGATGTGCACCCCTCACAGGGTCTGACGGTTTGTTGCCCCTCCCAGCTCTGGTGGCTGCCAACAGTCCTTTGCTTGTGGTTGTGTCACTCCCATATTTGCCTCTATGATTAATTGTCGTTTCTTGTGTGTGTATCGAATCTCTCTTCCTTCTTATAAGTGTATATATGGCTGTATTCAGTGCCCATCTAGATAATCCAGGATAATCTCTGCATTTCCAAATGCTTAATTTAACCAAGACTCCTCCACTAGGTAGCATACACAAGTTTCTGAGATGAAGATGTGGGCATCAGTGGGGCACTGTATTTCAGCCCTTCAGCATCCATGAATGACCAAAGAAAGATTTTACCATTAACTCCAGTTAGAAATTCCTGCTTCTGATTCAATGTAGGTCACTGGGGCCCCCTTGACCACTGTGGGGAAAGGAACTGTTGAAAAGGACTTGGGGTGGGGAAGGGAATTGTCAGTTGGCTGGGGGGAGGGATTAATATTCTCAAAGGGAGAGATAGTTGGGGAAGCTGCTGGGAAGACAAAAACCATAGACCTGTGAAATGACACATCGGGAACTATTATAACTCTAGGAAACAGAGTAAGAAAGTACATATTTAAACATTAAGTTGTTTGAAAATTGTTAAGAGCCCTGGAGATCACAAAACATGAAGATCAGTGAAGAAGAAAACTTCACTGAGAACCAGGAGAAAGTCTTCCCAAAAGTTAGGTGGCAGTTTTATGCCTTTTCTAGATCTTCCAATTAAGCAAGAGGTGCTGGCTAAGGATTATCACATTTATGTCTTGTTTTTGTTTTGTTGTTTCAGAGGAGAAATTTAATGCTTATATTTTTAAGAGGTCTACAATTCATTTAACAAACTCTGTCCTTTCTGGTCAAGTTTTGGGGTTGTCAAGATGGAGAGCTGATTTCACAGTGAGCTGGGAGTTTTATCCCCACGAGGTTTGAGAGGAACCTGGTTTTCCTAGTTCAGAAGATCTTGTTGCCTCTAGCAGGGCTCGCAGGCAACGAAAGAGCCAAAACCAGGTTAGAATTTGGAATGCAGAGACCCTAAGGCAGTGTTTAAATTGCAGAAACTGGAGAGAGGAAGGCCAGGTGTGTCCTTGGTCTATATTATATTGTGCCCTTTTCAGCTCATATCATGAGCTCCATAGAAATGGCCAACAAGAGCAACAGTGTCTAAGTGTAAACTAACTATATATTTAGTTAGCTCATGAGTAGGGTTGCTAGCTAGCGGAAGGCCCTGAGATAGAGCTGGGTGATCAAAAGAATAAAGAGTACAGATATTCCTCGTTTAAGCATTTATCTGTTTAATGACTGTTTGGATTTACAACTAGTCCTTCCCTTTTGTGTACTTCTGTACATCTTCTTGATAGAGCCTCAAAAACCTTTTTTTTTGTATAGTAAACTTTGTTTTTGTAATATGGTAATTTTGTTGGTTGTATAGTTTTATGTTCTTTTATCATTACAGTACTGCATGTATGTTATGTAAATAAAAACAAACTCATTAAGTTGGAGTTTCCTTTGATCATTTCTCTGTTCTGAATCTTGTAATGTACATACTATATACACTTTCTCATTTAGTAACTAGCTCATTTAATGGCATAGTTGCAGGAATGGAACTCAGTCATTAAATAAGGAGTATCTGTAGGTTATTGTATTTTAGGCTAATTCCCTAAGCATATTGTGCAAATAAATACAGCACTCATGAAAAGACAAATGTCTTAAAAATATGTATGGTTTCCATAATGTCTGATACATATAATGTCTGGGGAAAGATATGCTACCAGAACTTTATTGCCTCAATATCCGAAAAACATATAGTTTGCTTGTTTTGATGCAGAATGGAGTGATGTGGAGCATAGTTCTGTGAAACCTGTTGATCACATATGATGTAGGTAGAGCAGCCGGTCAAAGGGCCATAAAAATTTATAAGTACAAGCATTTATTGGGCTCACTTTTAAGTACTGTTTGCTTCTGTTATGGTTGATCCATTGTGTTAATTTGAGAAGTTCAGAAGTTTAACTATGCAACTCAGCAGGGGTCCAGGATCCTTACTTAGTAAACATCCTCAGCCTGTGCAACAGGAGGGCACAGACATGGTGTGGAGTGCTACACCCAGTGGAGGGGCGTAACCTCCTTACAACGTAAGGGAGGAAAAGAGACTTGCTCTTGCCCTGCTTTTGCTCTTGTTGCTTGTCTGTCTTCTGTGGCCTCTAATGTTGCCGCTCTGTCATGCCACCCTGTCTGGGACCCAGCCGGTTATGGACTGAAACCTCCACAATCTGTGAGCTAAATAAACCTTTCCTTACTTAATTTTGGGTGTTGGGTATTTTGTCTCAGCAATGAGGAAAAAATAACCAAGATAGCTTCCAACTATACCTCAGATGATAATAAAACTTATTAATTTGGATTTAAATAAATTTTAGATATAAACAATATCACTTCTTTAGAAGTGATGTTACCTTTGAAACTTTTTGATATGTAGAAATGTCTCATATCATATGAATGCATTTATTTTCTTGAGCGTTTTGTATACATTTCTGAACCACAGGAAACAATTAATGAATTATCACGGTTATTCGTGGCTTTGTGATTATGTGTTTAATTTTTGTCTTACACTCCTCCCTACTAAGCTCCTTTACTACATATTTTTTGTGTCTTTTTGTTCTCCAAAGATATTTACTGTAGAGGTAGACAGACGAGTGGCTCCATTAATGTCAGTTTCAGTGTCAAGCATATCGGGTATTTCTAGTGACTTTTTTTTTTATAGTGAAGCAAGTATATGGTTTTGTGATATCTTAGTAGGCTTTTAGTTTCATTGGTCCCTCGCAATGGCCTGCAGAAGCTGCTTCATTAATGAGACAAAACTGCAAGTTCAAAGCAGCTTCCAACAACTGCATCAACAGTATCGATCTGTTCCAACAGTTTCAATCAACTGTGTGATCAGTGTAACTTGGAAGACTTCACCGACGCTGCTCGGAAAGGGTATGTGAGGAAGATATAGAAGTGCACATTTTACTAATTTGCTAAAGATCATATCTGGATTGTATCTATTTTTCAATCATGATTATTGATGAGCACTTTCTATATCATAAGATGTCCTGGATTTTCTGAATAATTTCCATCCATCTTTCCTGAAGTGAGGGATCAATATTGTCTACACCCAGCGGATGTGATAATTTGTTGGTGGCTGCTGTATTTTATTTTAAAGATTTTTGGGCGGTGTGTGTTCTTAAGAAAAAACAAATCATCTTTGCTGGAGTATTTGATAATACGGTGTCCAGTACCCATGGTCCTCCTTTAACAACCCACCCATCTAATGACTGATCAGACTTACTACCAAGTGCGCTGTGTAGCCTGACTTAAGGATCGATCTTTTTAAAAAATAGTTTTGTGCACCTTGTTGATAGAGCCTCAATGTTTTCATTTTTATTTTTTTTTGGTAGAGTACACTTTGTTTATGCAGTACTATAATTTTTGCTGATTGTACTGCATAATACTGTAGTTTTATGTTCTCATACATTACACTACTATATGTATGTTATATAAATAAAAGCAAAGTCGTTGAGCTGGAGTTTCCTTTGGCCACTTTTTTGTTCTGAATCTTGCACATACTATCTAGATCTCTCTATTTAGCGACCAATTCCTTTAACGACCTAGTTGCAGGAGAGGGACTTGGTCGTTAAATGAGGGATACCTGTAGACAGCGAAGTCGGACTTCAGAGCAAGAAAGGCAGAACTCTCTACTAAGTGGAGTTGCGGCCTCCCTCTGCTAAGATTCTGAATTCTGAAGAGTTTTAAAGGCAAAATAACTAGTTTTTCCTAATACCTGTTTCCATTAAGCCCTAACCTGCTTAGGAATTGGGTTCCAGAGCCTGAGTTCCAACTGGCTTTTTAAAATCCACAGAGCTGCCTGTGACAGGTGGCCACTGGTCACTGAGCAGTTCCTCTACCCAGTTTCTCTCTAAGTAGCTGGGGATTGAGAGGCTATGCGGCCGCCCACTCCGGACCCTTCCTGGAACTCCAGGAGCTATTCTCATTTTCAATAAAAACTCTCCTAACTTCCTCCTTTTGATTTGCAATTTCATTCCTCCGCTTTGCGAGACCACAAGCTCGGTTCCTGCCTAATGGAAAGGTCATTTAAAGAAAAGCCCTTTCTGCAAGCGCTGGCTGCCAGAGGAAGGCGGGGCGAACGCCTGGAGTCTGCAGGTTCGGGGGAAGGGTCCCGGTCCGGGTTCCTAATGTTGCAATCAGTAGATACATAGCGGGGCTAAGCGTTCCTCCGTGCTTGGCAGCTGTTGCACGCGACGGCACATCCCGAGCCAGAGAGCTCGAGGCGCATTTCTCTGGCCACTTTGCCAGGCGCAACGACCACAGAGTTTCCAGAACCGCCGACCTCGCTTCCTGAAGCCTCGGAACCCTCAGCCCCTTGCTCCGCCCGCCAGTATCGGTGGGACCCCGGCGCCCCGGGCCGGAAGGGGGCGCCCGAGCGCGGCAAAAAAGGCGCCGCGAGCTGCTCCGGCCCCAGTGGCGGAGCGCTGCGGCCGCGCGGCCACGAGCAATCGCCACACTGCTGCCGCCACCGCGCACTGCGCACAGCGCGAAGACCGGACGCGAGGCGGAGGGGACCCAGTGGCGGTGCCTCTGCGCTCCCGCGATTCCGGCCAGACTCTGCCAACCCTCTGCGCCCGGTGCCCGCGCACCGCAGGCTCCCGATGGCCCCCGACGCCGGTGCGCCCCCGCGCGCACTGCGCCCGCTGCCCTGGGCGGCGCTGCTGCTCCTGGCCTTGCTGCTCCCGGTCGCCGCCTCGGCGGGGGACCCAGGTACGCCAGCGCCCACCCGGCCACCTGGTTCTGGGCGCCCTTCTCGCTGCTTCTCTGTCCGTCTCGCCTGTCGCTCTGGGGCCGCCGCCCCGTCTGTCCTGGTTTGGTGTCGTGTCACTAACCTGTGCGTCCTAATCGCTGGGTCCCGGCGCGCCTGTCTGGGCACTGGGCACTCTGCGCTCCGGTAGCGGGAGCGGGGACGCCGTCTGTGCCGGGGACTTGGGTATTTAGCGGCGCTGTGGAACGCTCTGACGTCGGGACGCGGAGCCCTCTACAAAGTGTCCGGGGAGAGTCAGGCAAAGGGAAAAGGAAAAGGCGAGAAAGCCCCTCTTGGCATTGCACAGGGGTCCTGGGGGAGCTGCCTTTCTCTGCCCAGAATGTCCCTGGGAGCAAAGGTGAGCATCCTCTATCCTGGCGTCTCCAGGTGGGATGGCTGCTGGAGGGGGCCTTGCAGCGGGCAAGGGGGAGGCGACGAGCCTCCGGGGCTCGGAAGCCTCTGCGCTCCGGGACCAGCCTCGCTCCTACCCGAGCGCGAGCGCGCTGCCGGCCGCTGGGGCTCCGCGCGCCCAGGGCTGGGAATTTGAGAGTCGGGAGAAGACATTTGTCTTGAGAGGATGGAGAACGCAGTGGAAAAATCGGTTCCAGAGAACCTCACCCTTTCCTGAGCTGGGGCTAGATCCAGAGGATGCTTTCTTTGGGAACAGTGCTTTTCAGAAGGTGCCAGCATGCTCTTAGATTTCGCCCGGAGGAAGCTTGTGATGGGGTTTTCATCCTCACGTCGTTGGCGCCTCTCCTTTCCACCTCCTGTGCAAGCATTTTCACACTTGAAGCTGTGTGGCTTTTATTTATCTCATCAGTTTTATAGTAATTTAAGAAGTACATATTTTAGTTGGTACTCTACATTCCCCACTGAGTTATAGAAATTCAGATACTGTTCCAATGATGGCTATTACTTGTTTTGTGATGCTAGTGGCTTTATGATACTAGCTGGTTACTTAAAGGATTAAGGAAGAAGAGTTGCTTAGTGACTTTTGGTAGCTATGCATATTGCTTGGTCCAGGTTTTTGCCAAGTTTTCGAATGCCAAACGCCACTTTTCATAAAAAAGATCATACAGGCTGTACAGTCTTCTTTCCTCCTGTTAATGATCCCTAGAAAGCATTCACTGCATATTTTGTACAGTGCTTGACAGAATAAAAGTGTTTTAAAATCTTTCAATGTCTCCACCTACATTCTATGGCTTTTGTTTTTCAGTGTTAAGGTTTTCAGAATGTTGAAAGAATTTTTGTGTCAGAAAATATTAAGACCAGAGCAAATGCTGCGTGAGCTTTGTGGTGCTTACAGCTTTATTCCTTTTAAAATTCTTCTACCTGTCCGATGGCTGACTTTTGAGCAAGGCTGAAGTCAGGGTTGTTTGTGAGAGCTCCGGAATCCTGTGGTGCGGTGAACTGCTCCTTCTTTTTTTTCCGTGCTGCTCTGTAAATCACTGAGCTGTGGAATGTGAGAGCTGGAAAGCTTGTTGGCACTTCTCTCTACTGTGTTGACGTGGGATTGCAATACAATGATGATCAGACTTGAAATGGACAAATGAGAACAAAGCACATTTTAAAAAAACAACTTACCGCATTTAAACTAATAGAAGAAAAGAAATACACAGCTCAGGCATAGCTCCTCATGGTGGGGAAGAGATCCATTGTTTCATGGGCTCCTTGGGTTTCATGGCAAGGCTGTGGGTGCATTGTTCCTTCTTGCTGGTTGAATTAATGTATGGATCCAGAAAGCTGCTTGTGCCAGCCCTGACCCTCCATCTCTGGGACTAGAATCTCTGTAAGGAAATAACCCGGAGCTACATTAATAGTGGTGGATCACGACAGCTCTAGAGGGACCATCCTTACAGCAGAAGTGACTTACGGGATGCGATGAAGAACTGAAAAAGTCCTGCAACTTAGGGTCAGTTAAAACACGCAACAAAATAAGCAAAGAATGCCAACTCCTCCCATCCTACCACATCCATTCTTATCACAGTTTGCATGCAAACATTAACATTATAATGGTGCTTGTAAGACTGATACGGTTTTCTAAAAACATGTGGATTCATATATGCATTTACAGTGGGTATCTGGGGTAGTGTTGGGTAATTTTTATTTTCTTTAAAGTTTAAAGACTCAAAGAGTAAAAGTTATTTTGCAAGTAATACTGGAATGCTGTTTGCCTTTTCCTCTGTGTTGACATTTGCACTAATGGTGTAAAAACTTTAGTGGGTAAAATTGCTGTTGTCTGAATGTATACCGATGCAGGGAAACTGTATACACCAGAAGACATAGACATTTTCAGACCTCTTGCAGTTAAGATAGACATGAAGTTTCACTCAAGAATGCATTAAGATTATTAATCTTGTCATGTCTCTATCCTTGAATGCATCTTTTTTAATATTCTGTGTAGAGAAATGGAAAGCACACGCAAAGTTGATTTGCTCACTTCTTGAAGTTGAGTTGTAACTCCAAGGAAAAGCTCTTGTGTGATAGAGTTGCGAACTGAATTTGCTGCTTTTTATGTGGAATGCCATATTTATCAAAAGGAATGATTATAGACATAATACAGCTAATGACTTGGGCATCTAGCAGACATCTTCTCAAAAGTGAACAAAGAGAATCCCACTACTGCTGAGATTTCTTGCCAATAATAAACAGTTTGCAAGTGAAAATTTGAATTTTGTCATGTTGCTTCTATCATAACCCTGAAAGCAGCTTGATATGTAGAAAATTTTCTAATGAGATTGATAGTGATATAAGTGAACATGATTCTAACGTATCATGTCTATGGAACATGTCAACATTTGGATAACTTGGATAACAATGTGAACCAGTAAATTCAAATGGGCTGTGTGTAGAGTTACAAAAGGTTACATGGCTGAAAGATCTACTCATAGTAAAAAGGGCAAGATCACCCAATGGACTTTTCCCTTCAGTCTGGGGTTCAAACTCAGACCTTTTCCATGCTAGGCAAGCTCTTTATCAAAGAGTTACATCCTTAGCCCTGACCCAAATGGACTTTTAATGTAGCAAGATGTGGAAAGTTTCAGTTTCTACAGTGAATCTTGAAAAAACTTTTCTTTGATGAATTTTGGTATAGTAATAAAGATTTTTTCAAAATTATCAGAAAAGACTGTTCAAATACTTTTTCAGCAATGTATGTAAGGTCAGATTTTCTTTGACCAAAACAACATATCAGGTTGAATGCATACACAGGTCAGATAGCCAGCTATCTTCTGTTAAACTTCTTTGCCTAAATGTAAAAACTATTCTATTTTTTTTTGTTTTGGAAAAGTTATTTTTCATAAAAATGTTTATGTCAACATTCATGAGCTTATAATTTTAAAACTGAATTAAAACACATGTTTTATTTTAGTTTTTAATTCTTTTGCAGTACTGGGGATTGAACTCAGGTCCTCATGCATCTGAGGCAAATGCTCCAATCACTGAGCTGAGCTAATTTCTATCACAGTAGATAAGGATATATAAAAATGCATATGGATATAACCCCTGTGGGGAATACTTATACATTTAAAAGTAGAAAGGAATCCACAGGCCAAAAAAGTATAAGAGCTACTGTTATACACAGAGGGGATTAGGTTAGAATGAAAAAACCAGGGTTTGAATCTCAGCATTGTTGATCCTCTGGTGGTCCTGGTCATCACTTATGGATAGATCTAGGGAATGGAGATTTACTTCATCTACAGAAACCCTTAGAATCTTTCCTGTGGCCCAACCTGTTTCCAGTTCTGCAGGATTTCTCTCCATTCCTGTCCTCTTTGAAGCAAAGTGGTAAATGCACCCCTTTATCTCATTCATTGGAGGTCAGTAGGTGAAAACCTGTTTTACCTATCACTTGAGCATGGAAATTCATTGTTGTGGATTAGAGACTGGAATAGGACTGCAGAATGACTTATCTGGAAAGTTACCACCAGACAGTTCAGAGTGTCACAGTCTGTTCTACCAAGATCATTCATATCCATAATTAAGTCATGAAGACCCATTCCCTGAAGACAGAAAGGGAAGAGTAGGATGGAAGAATGTATCCGTTTCCTATTGCTGCTGTAATAAGTGAACACACATTTAGTAGCTTAAAGCAAGACAGAATTATTATCTTATATCTCTGGAGGTCAGAAGTCCCAAAAGGTTCTCCCTGGGTTAAATCAAAGGCTGTGTGCTTTCTGTAAGCCCTAGGGTTTCTTTCATGCCATTCTGGCCTTTGGAGGTGTCCACATTCCTCAGCTCTGCAGAATAGGATTAGGGAATCTTTGGAGATCATGATTTTGCTCACCTTGAGAGGTGAGGAGGGAAACCTAGAAGCAAATGCTACAGATGAGATCACTTTGCCCTAGGCTGGTTAGGGGGAGGACCTTTTTCATTATCCCCAATGGAATTTAGGGTTGTCAATTAGAATTAAGCATATGCTCTCAGAAGATTTAATTTCAGTCAGAAAATACAGAGGTGAGTATTTAAAGTTATAAAAGTAAAGTAGTAAAGGGAATATATATGTGTGTAAGTATAGAATATTTACACTGGAATATACAGTCAACTAAAAACTATAGACTTTAGGGAGAATGAGGTCCCTGAGGGAGGCATTGTTTTGTCCACATGTTTTACCAGCATTAGTAGATGCATACTTGAGCACTTGTAATCAGAGTGCTATGATTTGTTCATAAAAAGGAACATCATCTTTCTTTCCTCCTAAAAATTGTGCTTGAATTGAAGAAGGCCCTGTCTTTCCTGACCAGGTGGGAGGTAGTGCTTGCTTCATATAACCTTTAGGGGGCGCTCTTGGCCTTCTTGAAGGGTCTCCACCTCTCATTGGGTCCTTCCGTTGAAGCCTAGTTGGGAAAACAGCTATGCAGTACCTGTGGCTTCTACAGAGAGAAGAAAATGAGGACAAATGTCCAGTTATCTGTTGCGTTTTTCCCTTAAAGACCTTTTTTTTTTTTTTTTTTTAAATTTTGTT